GATTTTGGCATCTCCCATTTACCAAAAAGATATCCACAGCTCTTAATAATAATAATATCTGCAAATATATTTATTCAAAGTATAGCCTCCTGCACTGCATATATAGTTTTAGTACATTTGATTAAGATTAAGGATTAAATTACTCAATCTAACAAATGTGTGCTTTAATTTGCACACAAAGTTTCCCTACACTTGATATAGTTTTACATTTTCTTCTTCTGCATGAGGATGGAATTTAATTAGAAGGTTCAACTCTCATTCAATTATTACTAGTATGATGATTTGCTGGTTTGAATTGTCATAACATCATAGAATTGGGACATACGAGCCCTAGAGATGACATTCTAGTCTAAAAGAAAGCATATGGGCCTAGCTAAGAATTAGAATAGGAGCCTAGGGAAGGCATACGAGTCAATTTAATTCCATGAACTTGTTTCCTAAGAAAGGCATAGGAGCCATTGGTATAGAGACGATGATATAACCTGGACGTAACAAATTTTAAACAAGTAAGCAACCTCTCTCCATGTAAAAGTAAAACTGTATGCATCTGATTCTCCATAAATTTTACAATGGAAGAAGTGCATGTCTGATTACACATAACATGTGAAAGAAAATCATATCTTGCATCATGTTTCGTTCAGTGTAGGATGTAAGGTTAGACTATTCGACTGTAGAGGATCCAAGTCCCATATCATATATCTATATCTAAATGCTAGATTGTCAGAAGTTAAGCCCGACAGAAACAAAACAATCTAACATTTTTGTAAGATGCATTTTATATTGGACGAAACGTGATGCACTGTTACACCAAAGAGAATTCAAGTCCTATATCCAAATGCCGAAATGTAGGGATCTAAGCATCACATAAAAAAAGAAAACAATATTTATGTGGGGGAATAATCTTCCAACTTACACCACTTCAACAACAAAGAATAGGCCCATGACTGTGACCAAAGACGATGTCTTGTTATTTCACATGACTGTCCACCTGTACTCAAATGTCTTAGCAAATAATTAATGTTTTCAGTATAAATAGGCAATAAAAATTTCTCATTTCTTGTGAGATTTTTTTTTTTTTTTTTTGCACCATTTCTTGTGATTGGTACTTCTCATTTATGTGATTCAATATTAGCACTGACCTTTGACAAGACACAACCAAACCAATCCTTCAAGTTTGGTCAGTGTTCGTCCGTGGACCTTTTCTCTGATCATTCAATTCATGACTATAAACCACAAACCTCAGTAATAAAAATGTTAAACTATCATGACAATAAATAATGATAATGAAATACTCCTACCTAACAAGTATGTATATATATATATATATATATATATATGCACGCGCGTCCGGTAGAGAGTATTTACATTGTTTATCATACATTTGGAAATTGTCTCAACAACACAATACATCAAAATTAAAGTTATATTTATTTTAAATTTAGGGTTTGAATTTGATATTTCTAAATGTTACATAAGATTCGAAAGAAATCCTCCATTTTTTTCGTAAGTTTTACCGAACTGAATTCCAAAAAATTGGTTTACATTCTAAAGACGACGTCTTGTTATTTCACAAGAGTGTCCACCTGTACTCCAATGACTTAGCAAATAATTCATGTTTTCAGTATAAATAGGCAATAAAAATTTCTCATTTCTTGTGATTGGTACTTCTCATTTATGTGATTCAATATTAGCACTGACCTTTGACAAGACACAGCCAAACCAATCCTTCAAGTTTGGTCAGTGTTGGTACGTGGACCTTTTCTCTGATCATACACAAAATTCATGACTATAAACCACAAACCTCAATAATATAAATGTTAAACTATCATGACAATAAATAATGATAATGAAATGAAATACTCCTAACTTACAAGTGTTTGTATATATATATATATATATGGAGAGTATTTACATTGTTTATCATACATTTAGAAATTGTCTCAACAACACAATACATCAAAATTAGAATTATATTTATTTGAAATTTAGGATGTGGATTCGATATTTCTAAATGTAACATAAAATTTCAATAAAATCCTTCATTTTTTTTTCCGTAATTTTAACCGAACTGAATTTCAAAAAAATTAGTTTACATCTGAAATTCGTGTACGAGTGTGAGTTGTGCAAGAGAATTATGTGAGGTATATTGATGATAGTCGCATGTAACATTAAATTCTTTTCAAATCACATATTCTTCTACCTTCAATCTTTTTCCATCATTTTGATGTTGTTTTGTTTTCATTGTCAACCCATCTAAAAGTGGTCCTTGGAACATGTGGAGCCACTGTCTCACATATCCTCCAAGAAAAATGGAGTCAGCAACGGCTTCCTCCTAATGTTTTTTATAGGGAAAATTTCAATTAAGTCGTAAATATTTTTAACTTGGAGCAAGAAGTCCTATTTTCAAATTTATTTTTAAATTGGTTCAAATATATATATATATTTCCAAAACTACCCTTTATTGTTACTGTTGAATCATCTTCTCTCTCAATCCTTTCAGCAACCATTCCTCTAGCACCCACCGCCGCCCAGCTCCACCCCACTTCTCAATCCTTTCAATCACCGATGCTTGCTGATTTCAATGGAAACATCTCTTCTGACCTCACCGGTCCGGAGTTGCAAGCAGCGTGAGTTCAACGTTGCCGGAGTTGCAAGCAACATGAGATTGCTAATTGTGGGTCTTGCAGCAACATCGTACTGAACTTGGTTGGCCGGAGTTTATGGATTCCGGTGACCATGGCATCCATTTACCACCGTAACCTCCACGAACACCTCAATTTCCATTCAATCTCATATCTCACAACCGTAACCTCCACGGCCACCGAGTTTCCACCTCATCTACGACCACCACGACCTCTATCTCTCAATTTCCATGGATGTAACAATATCTACAGAAAAAAGGAACATGTTAGCCTCTATATTTTCTCAACATCTTCTTCCACCAACATCATGCACCATTTTTGCCGGCTATTTCTTCCTACTCTGTTCTTTGAATTGCAAGTTAGCAACTAGAAGAAAAACAAAAAACAAAAAACAAAGAAAAAGAAACAAAAGAAAAGTTGAGTTAGATGTATATTGTTGTACAAATATAAATACATGAACAAAAGTAGTTTGGCTCAATTCCTTGAAGAACCAATGAATCCTGAACGTTGGAAAAGCTGCAGGCGCAAATTTCTTGAACGCCGGGATGGAGATGAGAGTTGTAGTGTGTATATATACACACACTAATATAACCCTTTGCATTTGTGTAGTACATAGGTTAAGAGAGGGAATCTGCAGTCCTAATAAGGGTAGTTTTGGAAATATATATGTTTGAACTAATTTGGAAACAAATTTGAAAACCGACTCCTTGGCCCAAGTTAAAAACATTTAGGACTTAATTGTCTTTAGGCTTCAAAAGTAAGGCTAAGGTGAAATTTTTCCTCTTTTATACCCCTTTTTTTGTCACTTCCTACATATATATTTTTTTACATCATAACATTGCATAACCTTACCAGTACTAGATAAAAGGTGAAAAAATTAATCTATTATTCAACATTTTGAATTTTTTTTTAAAAAAAAGTTTTATCCTGTTTTCTTCCAAAGGGTTATAGCAAAAACACGTATGACGGCAAAACTCTAGTTCTTCAAGTTTTATGTGGTTTAAAACTTGGTGTTGAAACTTGAATTATTATACATATGCTATATTCATCAAGATCATCATTAGAGCATGTTTACATTGAAAATTTAAAGCTATGGAATTCATCTCTGGGCTTGAGGGCACACGAATTTTTAATTTTATCCCTCAAACCCTAACTGCTATAAAATGAAGAACAGGTGCTGGTGTTGATACTTTAAGCTTGTTTCTTACTCAGATCTTGTATTATAGCTTGAGTATTATTGATTGTAACCTCTTTTATGTATTGTTTATGCGCTGAGAGTACTCATTTGGTCCAAGCAAGGATGCTGTAGACAGGAGGAATGCAGTGTGCACTTAGTGGTGCTAGTGTGTGTGTAAAGACTACAAAAACTAATCTTTCAACTTATACAAAAGTGTGCACAGAGTGTGACACAGCTAAATGTGTAACTATTTGTACACAACTAGTGATCAAAGGAAACTTTTCTTCAGAAGCTTTGCAGGGCTTTGCCTACTGTTGTGGTTTCCCAAGAAAGAGAGGAGAAAATTCAAATGTACTGTATCATGCTGTAGTGGTTTGCCAAGAAAAAGAAGAGAAAATTCAAATGTACTGTATCATGCTAATGACATTCATGTTGTTGAATGGTCCACCTACTTCTAGGTTGCTCATGCCCTACTTCTCTCAAATCTCAACCAGACAGACAATATCTTGTGCTAGATAAATAAATAAATTAGTAGTAAATAAAACAATGAAGCATTGTTTCAGTAGAGGCATTTACATGTATTTTACTCATCAAAAAAATATTTTATTACCAATGTGCTGTTAACATATGCATATATATACATGTATTTATTCATCAATAGAAATAATAATAATAATAATAAAGTCTAAAATCTTTCATGACATCCATAATAGGAAGGAATGAATGGAACAATGTTTCAATTCTTAGTGCTGTCAATAGAAACATCAACAGAAACATATATATAGGAGTTATATAATATTGAATTAATATTCCAGAGAATAAAGATGCTAATTCAAATAAAACATCATCGGTGCTTATCGAAGAGCTTTGATGCGTGTCCCTACGGTATGTTTAGTATAGTCTTTTTGGATGGTGAAAAGTAACAAAATAAATGGTCTTTGTGGTCTTTGTGTGTACAAATTTAATAAAACATGCTATCTAAGTAGGGGTAGAAGAGTCAATAGCAGAATCATCTTTTAAGTCCACAAGACTTATGAAGTACAAGATCCTAAGAACCAAAGAATCATAGTGTAAAATTCATCAAGCATGGTAAATTTCAAACACCCAATGAAAAATATATGAAAAGTAATGAATCTATCATAAGTATTGGTTAATATTAGTAAAAACCATATTTAAGGGTATAATCGAAGAACAAAAAACAAAATTTCATCATACTGATCATACATGGTCAAACAACATTTCTGTCCAGAAAAACAAAACTGAAGAACATTTGTGTCAGGAAAATAAGAAGTAAGCGAGCAAAAACAAAACGAGTTTTCAGTGCTAGTACTGCAATCACCATCTGATTGCTCAGGTCGTCCTCCACGTATTTTAGGGTTGTGGATGTAACACGGAAGAAAGAGTCAATTACCAAGTCACCCTTCAACGACATTCACAAGTTCGAACTCTATCAGGGAGAGATTGCTGTCTTCCTTGACAGAAAAATCAGCAGCCTCGGTGACTTCAACGCGGCCCCATCTGTCCACAGCAAGCCTCATCGACCCCTTGAACATGTCGATTTTTGCATTACGTAGGATTACAGTTGTACCCTCTTTCATCACGTCCACTAAACATGAAAAAAGTTGTAAGTAAAAACACTTCAAACTAAAGGGTATAAATTATTCGTGTTCAGACACAGCACCTGACTAATAACTGAGGATGGTCCATCACAATTTCAAAATCATATTTAAAAAAAAACAAAAAAAAACACAAATATTGCATGACATTAAAATACTAAAAGAGAGGCAACTTTCCCCGCTATCCCAAATATATTAGATTGAAAAAATGTCTTCCCATCCTAAAATTTTAAACTTATTCCATTTAAAACCACAAAATATTATTACAAATCCAATTACAATTCCAGAATATTAGCATTGAAACTATTTGAATAGTTAAAGCAGTAACATATAACAAAGTCAGCTAGGAATTCTGTGTTGCTGTGCAATTAAACATCCACTCCCAAATGCTTGATTTAGAGAGCTACAGAAATGTATAGAGCATAGAAGAATTTTGAGTCAGATTTTTAAATTCCTATCATTTAAGTAACACATGTTCTACGAGAACAAGCCGAATCAGGATAAGATAGACACGGGGTTAATCCATATTACCAGTTCAACACCTACACCAGCCTCCAAATCTTGAAATCTTGAGCTACTCTAAATATAAAAAGGAAACAAATTCAAACTATAGAACGTAATCTACAAAACCCTGCCCACAAAATTCCATAAGGCTACTGCGCCACATCAAATGAAACTCTAACTAGCCACCATATTCTCTTAAGAACAAGAACAAGTCAAAGAAAATAATAAGTAACTAATGATAACAATGGCTGCGGCCCCGCGGGGATACCTTATAGTGAGGTACGTTTATAGTGGTGGCCATCCCTCCACCAGAGTGATAAAGATCTAGAATGTTGGAAAAATGCTTAGATTGTATACTTCAATATATCAAATGGAGCTTATTCTTGGAACAACAAATATACTAATGAAATAAATCACATGAAAGCTTTGATCCATTTCTCATGCCAACAACTTTATAGAACTGTACAGGTAAAATAAATGGCAATTCTAAAATATATAACAGAGCATCTGCCCAATATACAACATCAAAAAATAGAAACTGTTGGACATTAAACATCCACATTCGACAGCAAGTAAAAAGCTTTGAAATAAAAAGAAAAGGAAGATTTATTAACATAACTAAGACGGGGAACCAACATGACTACTTTTAAGCAAATAAGTCTTAGAAATGAAAAGCTCACTTTCAATTTCTCTAACATATCTTAAAACCCGGGAATAGATTTGATTGTTACAAGATCAAGATGTACTAGGTGCCCGGATACTGGAAAGGATCCAAACTCAAACAATGCACTTTTTATGTGCCTTAAAGTAATTTAAGTTATCCGTTTTTTAGTATTGCCGGGTGCATATTGTCACGCCCCACTAGATTGAAGGAAGGTTGCTCAACGCTAGAGTCAAGGAGGATTCCACACGACTTAAGCTTAACATACGTGGATTGAGTTTTAGAATCTTCCAAATCTGTGTAGAGAACTGTCAAGTGTTGTGTAAAGATATGGACATTTTTATTACATTGAATAGTTTATAGAAATTGGTAAATTGAAGAATATTCTAAAAGAGTAAAGATTTTTATTGACTTTGTAAATATCTATGATAATTTGGGTGTTCTAGATCTTAGTCATTGATTGTAATCCATCCTAACCGTTCACGAGTGTCTATAATGCCTATATAAAGGGTAGGAGACTCATTTATAGTCATATAAGTCCTAAGAGGAAGTGTGTATAGCTTAGAAGTGGAAGTGTGGGTTGGGGAGTATAAACAAAAAAAACTCATGTAAGCTACCCTACCCTAACTCCTTCCACTAATATTTAAGACAATGAGTAGCGTCATACATTTTGAAGAGGGCAGCAATTATATTGTGCAAAGCAATCAATTTGTTTATATAGCAAACCAATTTAAACGGCTCTGATTTACTAATGTTTAGTAAATGATTTAAATTAAAAGAGGGATATGGCCGGGCGATTATGGTGGGATGAGTGGGCACGGAATGAATTTGTATGACATTTATGGTTAAATACGAAATAAAATTAATATAAATATATATAAATTACCAATAAATTAACAAGTATAAATAATACAAGTATTCCTAAAACAAAACAACATTCAAAGTATAAACATTAAGCCATTAAAAGTTAAACCTTGATCATTTCTTGCGGTGAAGATTATCATTCCTGTCTCATCGCCAACCAAACATTCAGCAAGTCGCATTTGGCGTCCCTGAGTTCCATCAGCACGACCCCTCTGCATTATCATCTTAGAAGAAACAACTTTTACTGTAAGGTTAATGCCATTTGCTCCAGGTCGCAGCTGGTCGACCTTGGTGAAAACTGGTTGCTTCTTTTGTTCAGCCATTTCCAACAAACCCTTTTGACATGCCAAATTAAGGAAATTAATCATTAAAACATAAGATCATAACATTGCAACAGCAGCAAAAGTAAAACAAAAGCAGAATATGTAAAGAGAAAGAAAAGAAAACGGTATTTTTTTTTTACTCTGTTTGGTAGATAAAAATGTGATTGAAAGCAACCTAATACAAAGTAGAGTAATTTATTTTATGTTACAAAAATACCCTTTTTCTCTCGTTCTAGGGCGACAAAACTTGCTAGGGTTTGTAGCCTGTAAGGGGAGTTCGCAGCATGGAGGAGGGTCAATCCTCCTCCCCAACACCTCCGGCAAGAGCTCCAAGCCGGAATCCTACCCCCAGTAAACCTACATATAGTAGTTTCTTTGATGAATCCCAATCTTCTTTCAAAAACTTGCAATATCATCACGAATGTCGTGGTGCAAAAGTTTCCATCACAAACGAAGATGTGGCTGAGGAAGTTGCATACTGGCGTTCATCTGTTATTGGATACGTAATGGGAAGGAAGCCATACTATCCATACTTCAAATCTTTTGTGCAGAAGTACTGGTCCAAAGACTTCACATTAGTTTACCTTAAGGATGGCTTTTTCATGGTCCGATTTAAGAACGATGCTGATGTCCAGAAAGTTTTGTCTAGGATCCATACTTTTGAAGGAAGGCCAATCATCTTGAAAAAGTGGTGCAAGAATGTCAATTTCCAAAAGGAAGTTCTTGAAACTGTACCGGTGTGGCTGCGTGTTTACAATCTGCCTGTTCACTGTCGTAATGAGATTTCTGTGTCTAAAGTTTGTTCATCCTTTGCAAGACCTATCTATATGGATGACCCCAACACTACAAGAGACAAAGGGCTGTTTGTCAGAGTTATGGTAGAGGTTGAAGTTAAGGAATCTTTACCCGAAGCAATGGTGGTTGACATACATGGCACTGATTGCGATTTATCTTTTGAATATGAATGGAAACTAGTGGTTTGCAAACTCTGTAGTAGAGTGGATCACACAGAAGACAAATGTCCAAAGAAAGTGTTACAGTCCAGACCAAGGAAAACTTTGGATAGGTGGGTGGTTAAACAAAAGAGAAAGACGGTCGAAGGTGAGATTGTGGACAAGATTAATGATAATATACCTGTGAGAGACCTGTAAACAAACAACACTATTATTACGAAGAACTCTTTTACCTTGCTAGAAGATAATGAAGATGTGGCCCAGGATTTGGAAAATGTTACTAGTCCTGTTATGGAGGAGGTTAATGTTATCCAGCAACAACAACTTGTTGAATCCAAAGTTGACTCTCCAAGTATCTCAAGTCAGGAAATTGAGAATATACTTGCGGTTGTCCTTCAACAACAGGTGGTGGATGGTGCTGATATGGAGAAGGAGGATTCTTCTATGGTGCCAAATAGTGTGTATGATGAAGATTTGCAGGAGGATGCAGATAGCAGAGATGTTGGTACTACTTATTTGGCTCCAGTTAAGGTTAAGGAAGAACACCAGTGTAAAACAACAGAAAAGGAATTGGAGAATGTTATCTTATCAGATGATGTAACTTTAGGAGGAGGAAAACAGTCAAAGAAGAGAAACAAACCTGCTATTCCCCCTTCAGATAGAGTGACCAGAGGAAAGAATGTAGGCAGTGGTTCACTGTCACAACCCTTTGAATGTTAGGGGTTTGGAATGTCCGAGGTCTTAATAGACCTCTAATGCAGAAGGAAGCTAAGCAATGGATTTCAGATCAAAAGTTTGCTTTAGCTGTCCTTGTGGAAACTAGGGTTAAGGAAGGTAAATCTCTTAGAATACAAATGAAAATTTGTCCTCATTGGACTTGGTTAGCTAATTACAGGTCTAATTATTTGGGAATGATTTGGGTTGGATGGAATGGATCCATTTTTGATGTTATTTTAGTGCATGAAGATGTACAATCCATGCTGTTACAGGTTAAGCATTTGCAATCTGGTTTAATTGTTTATGCTACTGCTGTGTATGCTGCTAATAGAGTTGGGGATAGAAGGGAGTTATGGAAGGATTTAAAGGAGCAAGCTACTATAATTGATGGTCCTTGGATAGCTCTGGGAGATTGGAGCATTGTTCAATTCAATTTTGAGAAGAAGGGAGGTTTGAGAATTCCTCAAAGCAGATTGGATGAGTTTAATAGTGTTATCTATGATTTAAAGATGGATGATATCCCTATTAATAATGGGGATTGGTCTTGGTGCAATAAACAAAATCTGAGTTCAAGAATCAATGCCAACCTTGACAGAGTTCTGACTAATGACTTGTGGCTGCAGCAGTTTCCTGATACAAAGGCTTACTTTACTCCTGCCTCATTATCTGATCACTATGGAATGAGCATTAATTGGCATTTCAACTGTTCAGAAGGGCCAAAACCTTTCAAGTTCTTGAAAATATGGTGCATGCAAGAAGAGATGAAAAACATTGTGGAAAAGGCTTGGGAATCCATAGGGGTAGGGGCAGGTAATCCTTTCCATGTCCTACAACAGAAACTCAGGGCTGTAAAGAATACAGTTAAAGAATGGAATAAGAATTTTGGAAGTGTTTCAGATCAAGTCAAAGGGGCAAGGGATAGCTTACACAAAATTCAGATGGAGATGCTTTTGCAACCTGCTAATCAAGATAGTATAAATATAGAAAGGGAAGCCTCTGGACGTCTGCAGCATGTTCTTGATCTTGAAGAGATTATATGGGCTCAGAAATCTAGAATTAAATGGATTAAGGAGGGGGACAGGTGTACAAGCTTTTTCCATAATATTGTTAAACAACGCAGAGGGAAAAATGCTATTACTCAGCTAGAGAATGTGAATAGGGATGTCTCCTCTGATCCTAATGTCATTAAAGAGTGGTTGATTCAGTTTTACACTGACCTTTACAAACACAGAGGGGGTATTTTACAAGATTCTACTCCAGCTAGGAAGAGCTTAAATCAAGAGGAATGTTGTATGCTGGATAGTGTTTTTTCTGTTGAGGAAATCAAGGGAGTGAAAATGGGATTCCATCCTGACAAAGCTCCAGGACCAGACGGCTTCCCAGCTAGATTTTTTCAGAAGTATTGGAGTGTGGTTGGGGCAGATGTAATTAAGGCTGTGTTGTTCTTTTTTAACACTAGTCATTTCCCTCAAGGTATCAATTCTACATTCCTTGCTTTAATCCCCAAACTGAATCATGCTGATAAAATCTCAAATTACAGACCTATTGCTTTATGCAATTTGGTCTACAAGGTCATTGCCAAGATTTTAGCCAACAGATTGAGTGTTGTTTTACCTAATTTGGTTGGTCTTGAGCAGGTTGCTTTCATTAAGAATAGGAGATTACATGATAATATTCTTTTGGTTTCAGACCTGGTAAAGGATTTTGGAAAGAAATTTGGTGATTCTAATATGACTTTAAAAGTTGATTTGAAGAAGGCTTATGACTCGGTTGATTGGAGTTTTATTTTAAGCAGGCTGAAGGCTCATAGGTTCAGTGATCAATGCATTACAGCTTGTATCTCTTCTTCAAATTTCTCTGTTTTGTGCAATGGTGTGCCTGCAGGTTATTTTTCAGCTTCTAGAGGGATTCGCCAAGGCTGCCCTTTATCTCCACTGTTATTTGCTTTAGTTACTGAATATTTCAGCACTTTAATGACTGAGTACATTGATAGTGGGAGGATTAAACTTTGCAAATCAGTGGTCAATACAGGTCTGAAGATTTCTCATGTATTTTATGCTGACGACCTTTTGTTGGTGGTTAAGGCTAATATCTCAACAATAAAAGCAATTGCAGAATTGTTCAGAAAATTCAAAGATGCATCTGGTTTACAGGTTAGTCAAGAGAAAAGCTCTGTCATTTTTTCAAAATCAGTTAGATGCAAGAAAAGACTGGCTGCTATTCTTCAATTTCAAACTGAAAATTTCCCTTTCAAATATCTTGGTTTACCTTTGTCTAATCACAAGTTAAGGGTAGGAGATTTTAGTAGCTTGTTGGACAAAGTTAATGCCAGATTAGCTCATTGGAACACTAGTAATTTGTCTTTGGCAGGTAGAGTGGAATTGATCAAATCAGTTCTGTATTCCTACTTGTATCACTGGTTGTTCAGCTGGAGAAGAAATTTAAGCACTTTCTTTGGAGTGGCAAGCAAGACTTGAAGAAAATTTCTCAAGTAAAATGGAGCTCTATTACTGTCCCTGTCGATGAAGGGGGGTTTAACATCAATAAAAATCAAAGACATCGATTTTGCTGCAAAAATCACTTTGTGTTGGGATTTTCTGCAGAAAAAGGACAAGCTTTGGATTCAATGGCTTTAAGCTATTTATTTAAAACGGTCCTCTTTTTGGAATGTGATTGCAGGGGTTGGTGATTCTCCAATTTGGAAGCAAATTCTTGAAGCTAGACAGATTTTATTGGATAATATTGACTTCAAGGTTGGGAATGGTTTGTCTTTCAAACTGTTAACTGATCCTTGGTGTGATAATCAAACTTTGATTCAGAGATTTGGTGCTACTGTGTTCAGGCAAATTAATAGAGCAGAGACAGTGGATGTCTTCATTGCATATGGAATTTGGTTTATACCTTTACATTATGCTGTTGAGGTTCGAACTGCTATTCACAGAATTGCTTTAAGGACTGGTACTGATACTATTTCTTGGAGGCATGGGGTTTTTTCATTAAAATCTGTATGAAATGTTTGTAGAGCTAAAAAACAGAAAGTTAATTGGAGCAAACTTTGTTGGAAAGGCTATAGACCAAGGGTTTCAGTGGGAGTCAGTATCATTTTGCATAACAAGAATTTATCTCTGGTTAACCTTAAATAGAGAGGATTTATCCTTACAGCTATTTGCCACAACTGCTTTGAGTATGAAGACACTAATGATCATCTTTTCTGTAATTGTGTGTAAGCCAAAGCTATTTGGAGTAAGCTATTCAGTTTGTTTAACCTGCAGTGGCCGAGGGTCAGCTCTCTTAGTGAGATTGTGGATTGGTTTGTGGTGCAAACTAGCATACATAATACTAAGTCCAAGATTTTGTGTGCTCTGTTCGCTGCTACTATATGGAAGATTTGGTTAATGAGAAACTCAAGCCTCCACAATGGTTGCAAACATGAGGCTGAGTATGTTGTTCAATCCATCATTTGGGATGTGCTTGCATATCTCAATTTTAGTTTACATGATTTGTTAACTGTTTTTACATTATAATGTTTTTGATGTTGATTGGTGACTACTGGAAATGGGCTTATTCTAGCTCATGTTTTGTAAAAGAAGGTATGCCTTCTTAAAATTATTGTAATGTACATTCTTATTTATAAAATCTCCACATTCAGGAAAAAAAAAAAAACAACCATTTGGCTCACAATAGTCGAATTAAAAATATAACATATGATTTAAAATTATTCCTTTCTTCTGTTTCCTCGGTCACCAAACATGATTTAGAAACTATATATAATATACACACATATTGAACGCATATGATTCAAAAAAAATTCTTTTTTCTTGTTTTCTCGGCAAGCAAACATGATTTAGAAACTATATATACACACAAACACATTGATTGAGGACTAAAACATAAAAATAAAAATTAAGCATAATTAATTTTTATAACGGATAAAGTAAATAAAATTCTCTACAGATCTATTAGTTTTAACACCAATCAAACATTATACAATCAGTAGTGCATATAATGAGAACATTCAACAAATCAAAAACCCCAATTCGATAAACTTTATTAAAATAAACAAATTAATTAAATGAGATGAATAGAAAAAGAACCTGATTTGCGGAGAAGAGAATCGGAGGACGGAAAAAGGAGCGTTTGTTTAAGGTTTCGGAAGAGAGTCGGAGATCTGTGTGTGTCCTTTGAAGATAGAATGAAAAGGCCGTCACTTTCTTGACAATAATACTTGTATATAACAAGGGATATATTTATGTTTGGCAAGGCGGATAAGGTTAATTGCTAAACAACTCCGTTATATTATTACTTATTATGCATAAACCTCTTTAAATTATTCTTTTGGCAAATAATCTCTTCATGACCAATATTTTTGTTATTATGATCATCATTATGGCCCTTTAAAATGATAAAATAGTCATTATGGCTCTTTTTGTTCATATCTTTGCTACTTTTTCATATATCGGAACATCTCCAATCTAATGGTATATGTGCTGCTAGGTCTAAAATATAAGTAGGAGATGATAAAAATAAGTTTTCCAATGTAATGTTATATGGCTGACAAATTTTCACTTTACCAAAATTTATGTCATGAAATAATTTATTTGCAATAATAATAAAAATAATAATAATTGCTGAACCAGTTGGTACGATTATCAATTAGTAATAATAATTGTTGCTGAACCAGTTGTTTGGGTAGCTTCAAATGAGTGGCCGGTTTAAATTCATTACCATTGATATTGGATCTTGTGTGGCTATGCACGTGACTTTTGCAATGGAATTATCAATAAGTACAATTTTAACTCTTTTTCTCTTTCTTTTTCTTTTTTTTTTTTTTTTTTTTCAAAATTCAGTCAGCTGTTTAATTTTCTTATCTATCACTTTGCTGTGATTGAACCACAATAGCAGTTAGCAACTCACTGGTGAGTAAGAAAGTCGTGTCCATTTTTTATTAAGGTATTTTTCATTCCATATCAGAGTCTTCCCTCCATTAATTTGTCTAACAAAAAATAATAATATTAATAATACCATGTAGAGGTGGTATTCGTTCTCTACTTTTCTTCGGTACTATTTTTTTGACATTTTTTTTATTACTATTTTTTTATAGTGAAAGTTAACTTTTTTTTATTTTCTCGAAAGAGGTAACTTTGTTTTTGGTAATTTTTTATTCTGTCAAAATAAATAACTTTTTTTTCTCTGTCAAAGTAAATAACTTATTGGATAAAAATAACCTTTATTTTTTTTGGTCCTATCAAAAAAAAAAAAAAAAGACCAAAAAATATTCAACATAATTTTTTTTTCCTTTAAAAAAAATATTCAAAATGTTTTTTTTTTGGTCTTGTCTTGTCAAAAATCAAAATAGACCTAAATATTAAAGATTAGAGAGAAATAGATAAAATCTGAATAGACATGGACATTTGTGTCTTTTAAAAAGTAATAATTATTTACTTATAAAATTATAATTAAAATTATCATTTTATTTAAGATTGTAATGCAAATATTAAAAAATTAAGTAAGCCCTATAAGTCCTACCATGTATCATAAAATCATAATATTAGTGGTTGGATAGTGCATCCAAATCTGGATTAGGGCCGCGCTGATGAGAAATTATTGTATGAACCAAGTCCACCAACTCATTTTGCTTAGTTGGTGGACCACACCAATCAATTGTAGACATATTTGATAAAATTATTTTTATATTCCACACCTAACATGTTTACACCCGCACCTAATCATCTCCCTCTCTCATCCCCCCTGCACTCTCTTTTCTCCCTCTCTCTAACGTCTCTCTATCTCACCCTCACCCTTTGCAAAACCCAGATCAAACAAACCCAATAAACTCGATCTCTTCATACCCAAATTCATCACCTCACCAATATCAACCTTCGCCGGAAAATCAAACCAAGAACCCATTTCGATTCTATTGAAATTGAACAAAACCCTAGTCTTGTTCATCAGATTCGACGACTGTAATAACAATTCTGTGGAACCCAACTCGACTACACCATTTGCAGAAGGTATACACACCATGGTCTGCAACCCAAACACCCGTTGGTCGCAGGGTGAGGAGGCGAATTGGTCGCCTCCGGCAACCCATATCGGAGCCGAATTGAAGAAAGCCTGACCCGGAAGAGCACTTAATTGGCCAACCTTGCCTACAATTTTTAGTCCACACATGTACTCTCCCACAAGGTGCCTCTTCTAATTGATGTTTTTTCTTTGTAGTTATTTTTTTATTTTTTTTTTGTATGATTGTACACATTGACGGATCCAGAAAATTTTGTGAAGGGGGCGGACTTTTAACTTGTGGGGGCAAACTTATATGGTGGATCCATTTTTATAATTTCAATGGAGTTCTTTTCATAAATTTTTAAAAATTTAAAGTATAAAATGCAAAAAAATAAAAAATAAAAAAATAGTGAGGGCATTTTCATAAATTCTTAAACATTTGAAATATAAAATATTAAAATGTAAAAAAAAAAAATAAAAAAAGAATTCAGTGGGGCGAATTGTAATTTTAGTGGGGGCATCTTCATAAATTCTTAAAAAATTAAGATATAAAATAAAAATATAAAAAATCTAGTGGGGGCCCCACTGATCAGTGAATTTGTACATCTAGGGCATGTTTGATATGCATTTTATTTTAATCCAATACAAAACTAAGTGTTTTGTCGTATGATGCTTTGAATAGTACTCGAAAGCATTTTTGGTAACATGGGATTAAATAGTAGTGCTGGTTCTAGAAGAGGCACTAACCATGTAGTTACCGCCTTCTCCAAGTTGAACTCAGATCTTTAATGGTATAAATTTGAAGTAATTGTTGCAAAAATTTTAGAAATAAAAACATGGGTTGGTAAAACAAGTTTAAAAAAATATATAATGACTAATTTTAAAAGTTCATTTCAAAGTTTAAAATTTTTTTTGGTACCGTTCATTGCTACTGTGTGAAAATATGTAAAAATACTAAATTGATATTTTGACTTTTGGCTGCTATTCAAGACCGTGTCGGCACTATACCAAATAAAATACGGAATATATATTTTTACCAAATGCATTTTTTCCTTGTTTATTTATTATTATTATTTTCATTGACAAGGAACTCACATACACCAATCACACACCCAATTTTTCTCATTTGGAGACTCAAACCTTCATCATTCATTTTGAAAGATAGCGAAGATATAAAAATAAAAACACCAAAAACTAATTGTATCAAACAACGCTCAGTCAAAATCGCATACTTGGGCTTAGCCTATTATTGGCAGGACGAAGCAGATACAAAGCCCACATTTTGGACCGTCTCATAAGTATTGATTGGGCTTGGGGCACAACTAAGTAGGCCCATATGATTCTGCACCCACCTGCAATCACTATTCGGGCCCAAACCACCTCTCCTATTTAGGGATGACAATTTGACCCGCTCCCGCGATTACCCTCCTCGCCCCTCTCCCTTTTTGACGGTTTTGGGGGACCGTTTAGCTTATTTGGGTGGGGATGGTTTTATGTAATAAAAACCCGTGCGGGTTTGGTTCGGGGGAGGTCGCCCCGCCCCATTTAGAAGCCCAAATTACTTAATTATCCTTATTTCATTACTATATATATTTCTCAGTATATATATTAAGTACCCTATATAACAATATTAAAGTAAAAAATGAATTTGATTAGGAAAAAAGTTGCAATGGTGAAAAACTAAAGATGAGGGAAAAAAAAAAAGTAAATCTATTTCAACAATAAATAAATTATGGTCTTAACCGAGGCGGGGCGGGTACTCGCAGGAATAAAAATGTTAAACGGTTATGGGGATAAGGTAAAAAGTCCTCCCGTTTTTGCGGTTTTGGGCGAGGACGGGGATAGAGTTTTTAAACAGTTGCAGGGCTGGGGAGAGTACACTCGCCCAAATCCGCCCCCGTTGCCATCCTCACTTCCATCTTGACCAACATGCAAATACAACCGCACAATCATGTTTCAAACAACAAGATAGACGTTTGACAATGCAACATCACAAGTCCAAGTCCACATTGATGATGGAACCCAAATTCCTGCGCACTCAACGGCGACGATGAAGAATTTTCAGGCAATCAATCCGGATTCCATGTCCACAAACCCAACTACGAACTTGAGAATTCATGACCAATTTACCTGAACCTTGAATTCTTTTCATACTGTTTTCTAGTATTTGGTCTCAGAGTTACGTAGTACTCACACATACATCTCACAAATTGTCCACTACACGGCTTGACTCCCTCATCTCCCATTCGAGACGGAAGAGGTTACACCATTGAGCTAATGGCTCGTTGTTAACAACCCTTACTTGTTACTATTCAACATAGTTCAATAACCCCTCAAAATTGGAATTCTTTAGATGGGACAAGCATAATATATATTTCATATGCCAGTTAGAAGCCAACCAGCTTTCTTAACAATAGGTTCAAGCACAAAATATATTTCATATGCCAGTTAGAGAAGCCAACCAGCATTATTTTTGTCTAACCTGTTTGTTCAAGGGAAGACATTTATACAGCATTAGCTGAAAGAAAGGAGTAAAAGAAAAACAAAAGAAGGTGCAGCAGCAAGTGAAATGGTGGATGCTCATACAGAGAGAGTGGTCGAAACGCCATAATCAAGATTCCAGAGCTCAAAACATCCCTTAACAAAATCATAGTGTGCTCCCTGCACCGATAGGGTTTTCTTCATGACGCCGTGTCTCACAAATGGATATGTTAATAGGTTTCCCAAGGACACATTCACAGCCTCCTGCATTCAACCCACAAAAAAAAAAGAAATAAGAAAAAAGAATGAGATGAACATAGAAGAAACTTTCGCGGATTTATCAAACATAATTTTAACATTGCTTCCTCTGAAATCATAATTTTAAGCTAATTGTTACAATTTGGAAGGGCTAGCAATCGAGTTCTTTCAGACAGATTTAGGGAAGGTAGCATACACCAAAATAATTAGTTTCGACCAAGATATCTGCTAAATTGAGTATGAATTCAAGGCATCTGAAACATTTTTCAGTGGATTTTAAGCAAACTGGTATTGCTTGATACAGGGTAGGCTTAACTGTCCAATGTTGAAACACATCCAAAATATGGGAAAAGTCCACTATTTATGAAATTGTTGTCACATTTTGGGCAGTCTGAATTTCAAGTTCAGACTTTAGTAACTTCCAAAACTTAAGGGGAACTGGCATAGAGATTGGAACTACGGTAGAAGAAAAGGGTTCTTTCGAACCTATCTTGCTCGATGTGAACACTGATTTTCAATTTATCCTTCGGTAATATTAATAATAATAAAAAATGGTGCAGTGGTAACTTACCTTCTCGCAGTTATGGCACTGTTCCGCGAAATCCAAACTGTCAAATTCAGCTTTCACCCTGGTCTTTGCAGGCAAGCAGATTTTAACCCAGTTTTCTATAAATTCACTGTAATTTAAAACAAACAAAACGAGGGACACAGTTAGTATTTTTTTATCACCATCCTTCTGGTTTTGACATACAGACACAACTAAACAAGGAATGGTTCTACACAGAAATATCTTTATCAATATTATGAGTGATATGCACAGCCTAGTATATAAATAAAAGTGGCCGACGAATTTACTTGGAAAGATTCAATCTAGCAGAGCAAGTGTGTGTGGCCGGAATGTATGTCTGGCTCACAGAGCAGAGCAATGCTAAAGAGCTACATTAATCAATTCTAATTCCTTACTTTTTTTCATCATGCCAAAATGACAAAGGACAATAAGGATTTGAACTCACAAGTACGTGAAGTCAACGGTCCATTGCTCATGCCCAACATATGAAGATCATTTTATTCCCAGAATTGATGAGGAAACAAGCAAGAAATGGGATTTATTTTATCTACATTTTATTTTCTACAAACACCCTCAAGAATTCTCCACCATCCAAACTGTCCGACAATATATAGGCATGAGTATTATTAAGATGAGGTTTCTGCATTGCTGTTCAAGTGGAGCCAAGAAAAAATACAGCAAATTTTAACAAAAAAAATTATGCCTTGGATGATGTTGCAGAGTTGACACATATCTTCGCTCCATATTGTAGAGTAGTTGAAGCTATCACTCTGAATCATTACTTGACATAACGAGTCTCAATTTGATCTTCTATCTTCTTCTTCTTTTTTTTCTTTTTTCCTAGGCTTCTATCTTTTCTTTTTCTTCTCTATTTTTCTTTCTTTTCTTATTTTTTATTTATTTATGGTAATAATAATAAAAATAAAAGTTGGAGAGAGAGAATTCATGCGACCGACACCATTCATATGGGATTAAGACAAAGATGATGATGATTTGGCCATGTGGTAAGCTATTTAATGTCGGCAGATGACAGATCCAACTCTTAAAGGATCAAACCCAAACCCAAACAAAGTACCTTCATGTGCTCTGAAACTAATTTAAGTTTTTAAAATTGCATATGCTATATTATTAAGAAAGAAAATCACATGCAAGGAGTAGCTTAATTTGGAAGTTCAGGGAACCGACACACACAAACACACACACATACACACAGAAAAGATAAAAGAAATGCTAATTGAATAAGTTAAATGTGGCTTCTCAATTAAAATACAAACTTTGAAATTGAGATTAAGAAAGGTGGGCTTACCTAGCTGTGGTCCCATCATCTGGGATAGACATGAGCCCCTTTATCCCACCACAACAGCTGTGTCCAATCACCACAATATTCTCCACCTGAAAATACATTCTTTTTCAACTCAGCTCCAAAAGAGAAATGGAAAGATGATAAGTGCCTTTCGCACCAACTCTTTGCTTCTTGCACTCCATATAAATGGGAACATTTTACACACAGTGTGGGTGTGGGTGTGGGTGTGGGTGTGGGTGTGGAAATAGCAACAAATTAAAGGGCAAAATGGACTACGGAGAATAGTTATCACAACTGACAAGTACCAAGGAAAATTTAATCACCAACAGCTGACAAGTACTAAGGAAAATTTAATCACCCCCAACCATTATCAATGCAGGGTGTTTATGTGTCAATACTGTTCATAGTTCAATCAATGGGCAACATGATAAACAAAGAATTACATCCAATCATTATATACAAAGGGTACTTTTCTTTTTTTTTTTTTTTTTTTTTTTTTTTTTTTTTTTTTTTCTTTTCTTTTTTGTGTGAGTGTGCACACGTGTATAGGTAAATCACAAGTCCATTTGTTCCATTGTAAACTCCAACCTTCAACCTTCCATTTTGAGAGGTGAGGATGTAGAGGATATGCCAGTTTTCTAGCCTATAGCCATAAGTGGTATCATCCGACTTCAATTGATGTACACTAAGGCTTTGTTTGGTTCAATTCTTTAAAAACAGTTCTCGAGAAATCCAAAAAAAAATATATATATATATATACACACACACACACAAAAATAGTTTTTCAGATAAGATAGTTCTATGAAATAGGATTTTTTTTCAAAAATTGTCAAACCAAAACATAATATTTTTTTTTTTTTTTCCAGTTTTCGAAAACAAAAATATGTTCTTAGAACATTGAACCAAGCATACCCAAAACAAGAATAGAGCAGCTCTTTAGGGATTTTTTTTTACATTGACAAGAAATACACACTTTTTGCCTATGTCGGAACTCGAATCCCTCCTTTTCTTTGGGGATGGAAATGTTATACCATCGGGGTTAGATGACCTTTGGTCTCTTTATGGGGTGGGGTTTGGTGGCTAGATTCTTGGGTCGGGCACTAGAAGCGACAGACATGAACGTGTGGGCAATGCCTTATTGACACGGCTACATCATGTTGCCTCCACCGCAAAGTTCCCCACCACTAACTAAGGTAGCTTTAATAAAGAAGAAGCAAGTAGAGATGGTAAAAGCAAAGTTGGATACCAAAAGCAACGGTTATTATATTCACCTTCAGATGCAGTACTGCATATTCAATGGCCGCCCCAACTCCAGAGTATTTCGTCTGCACCAAATAATCAAACAAAGTCAAACAAACAATGATATGACATTATTGATCCAGAGCAACCAAACAAGACTAGACCTTATTTGACCAATAACTTAATCAAAACATTTAGATGCTTTATAAAACTAGAGTAGTGCTATTTCCTGTTGAATTAAAAGTGCATCTGTTAGAATCTTATTAACACCCAAAGCATGCCACAAAAAAAAAAAAGAAAAGGGAAAAGAGATAAAGATCAAATGGTAAGAAAAATAAATGAATATGTAAATGAATTAGTGAAGGTATGTTTGCAGAACGTACGGTGTCATATGGAGGGACCATGTTGGCAATGTTTCGCACGACGAAAGCCTCCCCTGGTTGGAAATCAAGGATGTGCGATGGGCAGACTCGGGAGTCCGAGCAGGCAAATACCATAAACTGCATGTAAATTAGAAACAAATACAACCAAAGGTCAAGGTTTTAACCCAAAACAAAAATAAGATGATCTTAACTACTGTGTGAAAATAAATAAATAACAATAGAATTTAGTATATGTGTCATAATGCAAGGCATCCATTAGCTATAAGATTCAGGGAGCAATTTTCAAACTACAATAATTTAAGTGAGAAAATTCACAAAATACCAAAACTAAAAAGTTGAGAAAACAATAATTATTTGTTTGAATTATGTTATTTGTAATTTGGTAGATGAATTAACCTGCAAAACTATATTCCAGGCATATTTGAGTTTGGAGATTCGTCTTGTACAAGGTACCAATTATTCATTTTGTGTGGCATCAAAGTACACCTTTTAGGTACAAGATGTGTCCTACTAATCCAAAAAAGTGTGTTTAAAAAGCAGCAACTCTGATTAAAAAAAAAAAGCTGCAACTTTAATCACTAAAATAACTGAAAAAGCAATTACACTGTAATAACAACCATGTTTCATAACCATTTTACTAACCTTAGGACTCTGGCCTTTCGCAAGTGCACCATACAAATCTGGATTTTTGCTGCATATAGGCAGAGAACCCAATAAATAACTAGAAATTTAATAAATTCATTTTTTGCAAATTAAAAGGACGACATTCTCCTTGTAGTAGTATTTGCTTCTTTCCTTGTAATGGGAAGAAAAAAAAAAAAAAAATTGATGGTCCCAGACCATTAATCCTGACCAATTATCATTTGTCAAGCTGAATAAAGATTACACATGGCTCGAGACCATGTAATAACTTCTCATGAAGAGAAATTATACGACCCTTTAGTTGATTTTCAGCTAGACTAGTAAAGCAAACATAACTCTGGAAAACAAAAAAGTGCTCGAGTTTTTCCTTATTTTCTTCCCAATTTATTGGGACCAATACTAGAAGTTTATGGAATATTTGAAACTTTTGAGACAAGAAGAATTTGTACCGTATTCCACTCTTGAACTATAACTTTATATAATTCAATTACTTTGGGGGAAAAGTTAATATAATGTTATAATTTGGATAAAAGCTAAGTCCAGTCCAAAATTTGTAACATTCCACTCAGTTATTAACCTGATAACTGTGGTGGGCAGGTGATAAGTGAGTGCACAAATACACAATTGGGGGCATTTTGGGATTCATGAAACGATAAGAACAGTTTTAAATTAGAAAATGCTGCAAGCATATTCGGGAATCTGCCAATCTGTGTGTTAAAAGACAACCACCAGAAAAAAGAACTGTAAGAGCAGGTTCCAAGACTACTCTGTACTGAGCCTTTTAAGGTACGACTACGTACTCGAATTTCTCGGTCTTGAAGTGGGTGAACCCGGTTTTAATCCTCTCCACCGGGTTGAACGATACGGCTGCAGCCGCTTCCAGCTCCGCCGTTAACTGCTTGATTTTTCCGGCCGCCACCTTCTCCAGGTCACCATTTTCACTGCAAGTTGGAAGTAATAATAACCACCCATCAAATAAGTACTAACATTTATGATTCGGAATTCCAGTTGCAAGAAATGAAAATGACACGTCTCCGAATTCAAATTTGGAGATGTTAGTTGATTATTGTGTGAGTGATAGTTGATTATTGTGTGAGTGAGTGTGTGAACCCACTACATAATTTAAGAGTATGAGACGTTCACATCTCACTCACATTATTCTTATTCGTCTTAATTTCGAAGATGTATTAAAGTTCATCAAAAAATTATACTAGTCACAATATCATATTTATGTGAGCTTTGCATTTAGCATTTTCTTTCCATAAATTCAATTTCAAATAAGTACTAACATTTATGATTCTGAATTCCAGTTGCAAGAAATGAAAAATGACACATCTTCTCAAGTTGATTATTGTGTGAGTGAGAGTGTGAACCCACTGCATAATTTAAGAACCGCAACGAGCTCACATTATTCTTATTTGTCTTAATTTTGAAGATGTATCATTGTTCATCAAAAAATTCTACTAGTCGCAATATCATTTTTATGTGAGCTTTGCATTTAGCATTTTCTTTCCATAAATTCAATTTCATTAAAAATTTGATTTTGATAAAATATATATATATATATAGAATTTGATTTTACCAACACAACGTTAGAAATCAGGGGAAAAAAACATACACAACATTAAAAATGGATGTAAATAACGTGATCAAAGCCGTGTGGGACCCACTGTGATGTGAACGGCTGATGAAAGCCATTTGCCGTCTGGTCCCACACGGACAACCAAACCACGATAACCGTTCTGCAATTTGTTCCCATTATTTTTCACATTTGAACAAAACAAAAAGAAAAAGTTGTTACCACTATTTGGGGTGATGAAATCAACACCCCTTTGGGAAACGGAAATGACAGAAGAGGACAGCTTTCCCCCACTCAATTACGGATAAAATCAAAAATAAAATAAAAAATAAAATAAATTCATTGATGAGTGGTGTGAATCCCTATAAGACGAAATGACAGAGAAGACACAGACAGTCTACCTGAGAAGCTTCTGCAACCCTGCAATGGCCTCCTCGTAATCGTTCGACATATCGTCTCTCTAAAAGGAATTCAACAAAAAGGATCAGAACTTCATCAAAAAAATTTCAATATATGATCGAAATCAGAGTGTATATACATCTATAAACACACATATTTCATACTTTGATGTGTGTGTCTGTGTGTAATACTGTATATACATCTATACAGACACAAACATATATACATACATATATATCGTTATTTTGTTGTGTGTGTCTGTGTGTAATATGAGATGATCTCATCGATGAGCTCAAGTCAGCTTCAGCGGAAAATTCGGATGTATCTGTGAAACTGTGAACGGATCGATCTTTGATTATCATTCAACAGAAAAAAAATTACGAGAAAAACCTTGAAATCAGATGAAAACTGAAAGAAGCTCGTCTGTGTTGAATGAATTTAATGAAAATAAACTGAATTGAATGCAGAAACAAAAATTCTGGATGATTAAATGAATCAGAATCGATACAGATTCATATATATGGATATATGTATGAATAGTTGGAAGTTTGAAGGCTAAAGAACATTGGTACGGACCTTTTTGAAGCTCTGAAACGAGAACTACTACTCACCTGATCACTTTTCTTCACCAGCACACACAAACCACTCTCACGTATGTGTGATATATTATCAGTATTATATATATATATATATATGGTCTCTATTTATAGGGGCAGGTCACCACAGTGAAAATTTAATTTATTGGTGGAACAATTGACCGTGGTTCACGGTTGGTTCCAAAATGTTTATGAAGAGGAAAAGTTCATTTTCCGGATTATACACGCAATACCATTTCCTTTTTCATAATTAAAACGGTTGCATTAAAAGCCTTTGTTTAATGTAGATGACTTTTTGTTTTTCTTCTTTCTTTTTTATCATTATTATTAATTTTTTTTTTTTAATTTAATATTATCTCCTCGACTTTTTCAAAAAAAAAGGTACACATGAAAAAATATCATAAATTTTTTATCAAAGAGAAAAAAAAAAAAAAAAAATTCAATTCTCTAGAATGCACTAAAAAGTATTATTTCTTTCTTATATTAGTAGTCCACGATGACTTCTCAGGCAAAGTTTTTGAAATAGACAATTAATATAAAACCGAAATAGTGTTATAACTAACTGCACATGCAAAAACTTAGGATCTAATTTTTTTTAAGGACATTCAAAAAGAAAAAAAAAATTATATATATATTGTTTATGACAAAAAAAGAGTATTAACTAGCATGAGGTGAATAATGGCGAAGGTATATTTGATCATAAATTTCTGGATCTGGTGGATTAATATGATCTAATTGTATAAGGGCTTGGCCAGTTCAGAGTCTTTAATAATTTTCGACGGCCTGCGCGTGATTTGGCGGGTAAAGTCAACCAAAGAGGGCTTTGTGATGGCTCCCTCCATGTGGTGGGACACGACTACCCACTCTTGATTACTTTGATCCTAGCCGTCCTTTTGTGAGTAATTCTATTTAAAAAGTGTTTTCAATATTATTTTTATTTTTTAGTACAAATGATTAAATAAAAAAATATTTTGTTTTCATCGAAGAAAACGTTTTCACTAGAACCAACATAGTTCCGACTTATTTTAATGAAACAATTTACATTAAAAAAAAAAACCAAGTGAACCCTTCTTTTTATAATTAAAAACTACCCAATTGTGCATTTAATATTAGAGAAGTCAATTTCAGAAGAGATGCTCTAATGGAATCAATTTGGGCTTATTCTATTCATGACAGGAGCGAGTTTGGGAACAAAATTAGAAACTTGTATAGTAACATTTTTTTTTAAATATATAAAGATAAATATTTTATTATTTTTATTTTTTGTTCTTTTTATATTCTTCATGATGTTTTGGATGCGTAATTAACATAAAATAAATAATTTACTGTTATAGTTGTTATATATATATGTGTGTGTGTATTCATTTAGGAGTGTGGTTAGAGAGGTGTAGGAAGGGGGATTTTCACCCCTTTAAAGCTTTGGTACCTGTGTATTTTGTCACGTAAATGAAAGTGCTTTTATTTTAAGTGAGTTCAATATATCACTATGTACCAATATCTTAATTGGTGATATTAAGTCACTAATATAACTGATGCAATTAAGTTTTTTTTCCAAAAAAAAGAATACAATGCTTGAACACAATGAGCAACTCAACTATTAGTGTAACACGACACTTGCATAGTTGTTAAATATTAACTATAAAGGTCATGCATATATATTTAAAAAAAAAAAAAAAAATTTAAACTTTGAATTTTCAAGTGTAATTTGAAATTCCTAAATTTGTTTTATTTATTTATTTGAATGTATAGTGTGGTTAGAGTTTTACCATTGGAGGTGAAACTTGTGAAAACAACGCTCATGAAATGGACCTCTCTAAATGGATAAACCATATCCGTTTGGCTACAATAAGATTGGTGGTCATAGTTGATCCTAAAGAGTAGAACAAACGTGCCACGTGTTCAATCTTTGGACACAAATTGTGGCTTCTTAAGAATGATCAGAATTGCCAAAAAAAAAATAAAAAATTATACAGAATTAGCAGAAGATAGGTGGATATATAACATCTTTTCAGCCACAACTTTTTTATCAATTTGGATTCTGAAATTTAAAATTAAAAAAATAATTGGTATTATCTCTCTTTCAGTGGTAGGAAATTTTTAGTGGAAGGGAGAGCTATGGACCACACACATGCATGTATGTTTTTTGTGGGAATAAAAAAATTGAAGTCTTGAGATTAATTTGATCCCATCATCTTTTGTTCAACTATTAAATCTCATTGTTGGGTGGTTTATTTATATTTATGATTCTTTAAGTGTTAGTTTGACCATTCAATTTAACACTTAATTTTGAATAAAATAAATATATAATCGATTATGTTCCTTTGATAACATAATTGTAATTTTTCGCAATTAATTTTTAATTTATATTTTTCTTGATTCACAATAAGACAGAATTCTAAATACATTTTGTTGACATGTCTCTTGCTTGATAGTGAATTCATTTACTCAGGTTTCTTCCTTTCATTATCCGAAAATCAAAGAAGAAGGATATTCTTTGGTGAAATTCTCTTATAGTCGTATTTCTATTTAGTCTAATTTGTTTTAGAAGTTATTGACAAAATAAAAATCAAAACAAAATGAGTCTATTGTTTGCTTCTAGGCGCTTTGCGTCAAAATATATTTGGTAATGTTTATGGGGGTTCGAATGGTATCAAAAAATATATATATATTTAAAAAAAAAAAAAAACTATTCTGAGATGACTTTTTTAATTAGCCATTTAATGTTGTAAACTTATAATACATTTTTGAAAAAAAAAAAAAAAAATAGTAAGCCTTATGATAATTCACAATGGAATCAAAATCAACACTTTTCAAAGTAACTGGCTTTGACCAAAGTTTAACGTGGACATGAAAAAATATTATTTATTTACCCAAATTACCCCTAATATATTCGGGTATTACTTTTGTGATCAGATATATCATTTTTGTGTAAATCAAGTAATGAAAATAGACTGCACAAAAAGTGGTATTTTTGTACACAAGAGTGATACTTACATGCATAAACATGGTACTTCTATACAAGAGTGATACTTACCTACATAAAAGTGGTACCTTTGACCACAAGAATGATACTTACATCACAAATGTTTTTCTATATTCACATAGATTTCGGTCAAAGTCCATAACTTTGAAAAGTATTGACTTTGACCCCATCTCCAAGTAATAAGACCTCCTAAAGTCATTTTTTTTTTTTTTTTGGGTTAATAGTTTTCTCTACCTTTTTTTTTTTTTTTTTTTTTATCAAATATGTTATTGTGTTTTAAAAAATTTTGTAACAAATATACGTGATCAAATATTATTTTTGCTTGGGGTCAAAGCAAAATCAAATATTATTTTTGCTTGGGGTCAAAGCAAACGTAATTGCCAAATGGCCCGTGGTTTTCTAGACCATTTGGAGGGTTAGGACCGTGGGATCAAAACAAAGGAAAATCAAAGTTGGTCTTAGTGAGTCAATGGTTTTGAGGCTTTGGGAGAAGAAGCAGTTGGGGTTTTTGACTGGACGGCTGGGATTTTTCAACCAAGGGCTATAGTTTGTGACCTGTCCAGAAGATGTTTACCCCATATAGGAATCATGAGGTCTTGTGAAAATTATTAATTTAATAAGGGACTGGTTTTAGAAATCTTCCACAACTAGACAAAGTATTAGGAGTCAACAATTAATGATGTGTTAAAGTAAGTTTAACAATTAATGATGTGTTAAAGTAACTTTGTACACTGAAAGAGCCTCTACTAATTTAGGGTTGTATATAGTGGAATTTTTTTTCTATTTTATAAAATAAAAAAGGGAGGGTTCAAATTTTCTAGAGACAAAAATTATGTATAAGTTATTGACCAAGTAAAATATATATGTATATTAAGTTATACAATACAAGTGTTATTCTACATACAAAGGTTTATAATTGTCACGTGTGTATGTGAATATTGTAAATGTACATAATATGATATAGTATAGTTAGGCACAGATCCACTAATGGGCTCAGTGGGAGCAGCTGCCCCCACTGAATTTTTTATTTATTTATAAAATTACCTATAAATTTTGTAAAAATCTTTAAAATATTCCTAATTTTTTGTGAAAATATTAAAATGCCCCTACTCAATTTCTAAAAATACACCACTATATAGTATTATTACGTCCCCTCTCATACGACTCTCTGGATCCGTCTCACAAGGATTTGAACTCATTATCCAACAAGTGTTGTCCATCCTACCTCTTTAAATAATGTACAAGACTCTTTGGATCCGTCTCACAAGGACTTGAGCTCGTTATCCAACTAGTGTTGTCCATCCTACCTCCTTAAATAATGTACAAACTTTTGATACCTGCATTAGTGTGTTTTTTTTTTTTTTTTTTTTTAAAGGCAAAAAGTGTTAGATGTTGAAATAATAGATATAGAGAGTCAAAACTTGACACTCCAAGATCAATGGAAGGCACTAATTTACTGGGTTATCGAGGCAACTACATTCCTGGAGTTTCATCATTCAAATATTGAGTCTTTGTCTTAACAAATTGTTTATTTCTCTTCCTTCCTTATGCTTTGTTCAGTAGGAAGGAAGAAAAAGGGGTAGAGAGAAAATAGGAGGGAAGGAACAAAATTCCTTCGTTCGGTAAGAAAGAGACGTGGAGGGAAAGGATAATAAGAGGGATGTCTTATCCTCCCTTTAACAAATTTTCATCCCCCCAAATTTGGACGGAAGACAAAAGAGAAAACAAGTAGAGCTATTATAATACTATGAAATTACAATATTATCCTTTCCAAATATTAAAAATTAAATCCTACACATCTCATCTCACGCAAAAAAAAAAAAAAAAACAATCTATCAAGATATGATTCATGTGTTATATATATAAAAGATCCAGATCTCGACCAAACAAGGATTGCACACACACACACACACATATATATGTGTGTGTGTGTGTAAGATAAAGGAGAAGGTTCAAGGCAAGATAAAGGAGAAAGTATATATATATATATATATATATATATATATGGATTGTTTGTTATATAATTTCCTTGTTAGTAAAAAAGAGGATTCAGAAGAAAAAATACAGTCTACATAAAGAAAAAATACACGATCTACATGATGAAATATGATTATCTATATATATATATATATATATATATATATATATAATTAAAACAAACAATAAATTAGAGTGAAATTAATGGTACTGTTTAAATGAGTAGTAAAGATGATGGCTATTTACCGGGAAAAAAAAAAAATAATGAAGGTATAATGATAAAAATAATTTTAAATTCTTCCTTCCCTTCTCTCGTAACGAGTAAAGAAATTTGGTAGGTTCTTCTCTTCTCTTCCATCCAACCGAACAAAACGAGGGAAATCCATAATCTCTTCCCTATGAATGTCTCATCATTCCCTTCTTCTCTATCCCTTCCATCTAATTTACTTCATTCTTAACGAACGGAACATCAAGGAGAGATGTAACGATTGAAAATCCAAACTTTTCACTCTAGCATTTGTAGGTTTTTATTTTTATTTTTATTATTATTATTTTTTAACACTAGCACTTGTAGGTTGAAATTAAAGTAATGAAAATTGCAATGGTCCATATTATTTGTGGAGAGTTGCATGAATTGAGAGGGGTTGACTTAGTATTTAAAGCACCTTGCCTAGGGTTGCGCTCTGCAGTTATAGATTGAGTGCTACTATTATAATTTGGGTAATTTACACAAATTTTTCTTATAATTTGTCATAATTACATGGACCTCCCATCTGATTTAGGAATTTACTCGAATCTCTCTTAAAAATGAAAATATCCTACACAGACCTCCTTCTGTTAGTGTCAACATTAGTCAATGACAAAAATTGATGACTTCAGCTACAAATTTTACTAAAATCTCTAATACCCTTGTCCCTACCAATTGATATATATATATATATATATATACACTCTGCTGAGGCGAAAGTATGAAATTCTTTACCAGAAGCTTACTAATTCTCATTGGCAGCAAGCCATGACCAAAGAAGATTACTCCCTTTTCTCTCAATAAACCTCAGGCAGCTTCTACAAGTCCGATTTCCTATTGGATTAAAGAAAAAGTTACGGAAAAGCAAAAGCCTGAGATTAATAGAATGAAAACCTGAACATACTGGAGGAGATTATCCTCAATACCCTTGTCCCTACCAATTGATATATATATATATATATATATACAATCGTTGTGAGGATATCTGCAAATCAAGTCTTCCCAAACCATACATATATCAATTGATATTTCTGAGATTTTTAGATACTGTTGTTTGTAGTCCCTCTTTGATTACGAGAGCTCAAACTCCTCCTAGACTGTCGAGATTGTTCCAGCACATCATGCTTAGTCAATAACATATGGATACTTTAGTAATTTCAGATAGCAACGTGAGGGTATTTCAGTAATTTTGATAGATCCGTTAGTGTATTTGGCGGTCTGTCACATCTAAGGGAGGTCTGTGTAGAATATTTTCATTGTTAAGGGAGGTCCGAGTAAATTCCCAAATTAAAAAGGAGAACCGTGTAATTATGACAAATTATAGGGAAGATTTGTGTAAATTACCCATTATAAATTAATAAATAAAGAATGAAAACAGTTTAAGAGACATCTTACCTGTTGAAGCTTTCTTGAACAACATATCATCATGCACTTCTTAAACTTTCCAGCCATACTTCTCTCTGCCCGCCTCTCTCTCTCTCCACACACCTGCTATACATTATGGAGAACATGCAATTGAACCAATTTATTATTATATTGGAGTGTTGATATATATGTTTTACGAGCATGTTATTTGTTGCGTCAACATGTGATTGTCGCAATACTCACATACTGTAACACATTGTCATTAAATAACGGACTTTATAAGTGGGTTATGAGTGTTACGACAGTTCTATATCACAATAAAAATAACTTTTTTATGTATTAATATTCGGAAAAGGTTGACACGCATATCATCTTAATGCACATAGGAGTATGTAAAAAACTTTTTGAAGCAACAACTACAATTACAAACTTTCAAAAAAAAAAAAAAAAAAAAAAAAAACTACAATTATAGCAAATGACTACAATTATATCGATTATACTGCCCTTTTAAGGTAATTAAACTCAAGTAACATTAGTAACAGTCACACAAGCATGACGTGATAGTTATCAAAAGGATAATGATTTGGAATTACAAAGTCCAACAACTCCGATTGATTTATATGAGTGAGCGTTAATATCATCATGATGCAATTAATATTGTTATTGATGTCACAATAATATCAACTCTTACTCAAAATAATAATAATAACGACCAAGTATTTATCAAACCTGTGTAACAGAGAGAGATATAGAGAGAGACAGAGAGTATACCAAATTGGAGTTATGAGCTACAGAAATGGACTGTCTTCCACCTGGCCTAAAGGAGATACTGGTGTAGCAGAAACTGTGAGGCTTATGAGTCAGTCTGTATGAAGAAGATTAAATAGGAGGGGAAGATGAGGATGGGCCAAAAATAAACTTGAATAATATTAAGATGGACCATCCCCCAATATTGACAAAATGGAAGAGTGTATAGGGAGCTCAAAATTGAATATAAAGAAAGCGAAAGGTTAGTTAATCAGAACCTCAAGTCCTCTAAAGTTAATCAGAATCTCACCTTGTAGATTACTACTCCATCTCAACCAAGTTCACTATAACCACTAAAATGGACTCATGCTGGTTAGTGAACCTAGCGCACCAACTATGGGCCAAGCCTAGCCCAAACCCAATAATATTTTAACCCAAATGATCAAATCCAGTATATCAGCAATTTCAGTTCAGGTTGAACAAAACTGGTCCAACTACAAGAATCTTACTAACATTTTACATAAAAACATATTCAAAGCGTGTGGGTTGATCAGTATGACATGAATATCTTACATCTTACGTTATACCTAAAGCTTCCCACTTTATAAGAGTAAAATTTTTATTAAAATGTGAAAATAAGTACATAAAATATACTAATATTAAAAATACACAAAACAAAACCGGTCTTAATGTTTTATAAAGAGTATTTACATCACAAAAATTAAAAGGAAATAGTCAACACAAATTTTTTTGGCCCTTTAAGCAAATTTTTATTTTTTTATTTTTATTTTTTTATTTTTTTTTGCATATGTCCTAAATTTGAGGCCCTAAGTGACCACCTAGGCGTAGGGCTAGCCTTGCCTGACGTCCATCTAATCACATTTTTAACCAAAAATTATATAGTTAAAATTCGGTATCAAAATTAATTTACACAAGATCACACAAAATAGTAAAGTTTTGGTCTCTTCATTTTGACTAAATTATACTATTAGCTTTAGATCATATCGTAAAATTTCATTTTATGGTATTTTGAACCGATTATTTATTTATTTATTTATGAAAGTGAGATAATTTTAATATTGATAACGTGGTAATATAATTTGTGCATTATTTTATTTACTTAAAATATATTAATTTAAAGAAGAACTTTTGAGTAAGTATAATGAGGTAGATGGAATAAGAATTCTTTTCATTTGCACAGTACTTCATTTCCTCCATTCTTGTGAGTGAAAGTACATCCCAACATTTTCGTAAGGTATATCCCAATATTTTTCTACGATGCATCCCAACATTTTCTTACTGTGCATCCTAAACATTGAAATGGCCACTCATTTTAAAATAAAAGAAATGACACACTATTTTATTGGAGGTGATTTTCACCCGAGGTGGGCCTCATAGTAGCATTAGTGAGGGAGTTTGTGTCCAAGAGTTCCACGTTGCTAAATATTAATAATATTTTATATTTTTGGATTTTTTTTTTTTTTTTTTTTTTTTTTTTTTTAAGTTTTTGGGTAAAACACAATATCAATGTAACATATAGAATAAAATAGGTATTTAATTCATTTTAAAGTAATAATTAAATTAAATTAAATTATTAAATGTGTGTATATATATATTAGCCTAGCAATAAGAAAAACAGCCATAAGGTACCTACAAACGCTGCAAAAAATGGCCAAACAGAGGCAAACAAATCATAAAGTAACAAAGAAAAACTAAATAACAGGCTCCAGATTTGTTGAGAAACAAGCCAACACGCAATAGCGGAAACCACTAAGTGTGAAGAGCATCAACGAGAGTAACCCAAAGGTCAGGCTAAGGTTGGCAACGGGGGCGGGTTTGGGCGAGTGTACCCTCCCCTGTCCCTGCAACCGTTTAAAAACCCCACTCCCGTCCCTACCAAAAACCGCAAAAACGGGAGAACTTTCCACTCCATCCCCGTAACCGTTTAACATTTTTACCTCCGCGGGTACCCGCCCCGCCCCGTTTAAGACCATAATTTAATTATTGTTGAAATGGATTTGTTTTTTTTTTTTTTTTTCTAACCTCATCTTCAATTCTTCACCATTACAATTTTATTTCTAATAAAATTCATTTGTTACTTTAATATTGTTATATGGGGTAATTAATATATAGTAGGATATATATATATTAATGAATAAGGGTACTTAAGTAATTTGTCTATTTAAACGGTGCGGGGCGACCTCCCCCGCCCCTGCACCAAACTCGCGCGGATTTTTATTGCATCAAATCATCCTCACCTAAATAAGCAAAACGGTTCCCCAAAACTACCAAAAACAGGACGGGGTGGGGTGAGTAATCGCAGGGTGGGTCAAACTGCCATCCTTAGGTCAGACCATCATCAAGGCAATAACTCCAAGGCTGTATCCACAAGGCGCCGTCGACCAGGGGAAAAACTACCCAACCCTGCACAAGAAGGTGAGAACAATAAAACCTGACATAGATATAAATTTAACCGAAGACAAAATAATAGATCCACCCTATCGAGCCAGAAAACCAGCCAAACAAGAGCATATCCAGCAAAACAATAGCAAAACGACGTGAAACTCACCCACCGAACAAACTTATTACACCACGCTGAGTTTATTAAGCGGTGAGTGGTAAGGATCGGCACCTCCCCACTCTTATGGGAGGGAGTGGGGAGCAATCAGAAAGGAGAGAACGAAGGGCAGCGGGTGAAGGGTTAAAGGGAGGCGAGGGAAAAAGTAGAGAGCGAAAAAGTGTAAAATTTTGTACAAATATATCTAACACTGCATTTCATGTACGTTTTTAGAATTCATGTAACATAAAAATAATTCTTATTTTTGCAAAAAAAAAAAAAAAAAAAAAAAAAAAAAAAAAAAAAAAAAAGATGATGACAATAGTAATTTGTTTATCGAAAAATAATTTTGAAAATCCAACTACCCACCCAGAGAGACGAGTAGACTAGAGAAATAGAAAGTGCACTTTTTTTCAGCCTTCTATTTTTCTTTTTTTAATTCTGTGATATCAACGTCTCATTTTTGTTGATTGAAACGAAGACTAGAGAAATAAAAAGTGCTTGTTTTCTCCACTTGCCAAACTCTCTCTCTCTCTCTCTCTTCTTCATATATTTCCTAATTTTCTATCAAAGTCGCTGCTGATAATGAATTCACTTTCTTTGGCTTAGTATCAGGTCAAAGTGTTGAAGCATAAAGGAAACACCACAAAACACTCGATACATATAAATATTGAAGGTACAAAGTCTCTTAATCTCTTCACCAAAGTCTGTTAAAAAGCTCTTCATGATCATAACCCTCTTCATAAGTTGTTGTTGTCTTATCAGATTGCCTATAACATGTTTGCTTAAAATTCCCAGTTAGAAGCAGCTATATATGGAGATAATATATATATATATATATATATATATATATATATGAATATCTTCCAACTTTCTTGATCATTCTAAACTTGTTAGTACAGCTCGTTTCTGGGATTTTTGAAACTTTTCAGGCTTTGTTTGTTAACTTTTTCTGGGTTAATGATTGATTGTTGATTGCCTTATTATCATCTGAATCAACACGAATAGCCCTTTTTGGAACAAAGTATTCAGGTCCAAACTAGGGATCAGGATCATGTAAGGATAAGCAGGAAAGAAAAGATAAGAGAGAAAAGAAAAGGGTCTTGTTTGGATATTGTAAATTGAATTTGGAGGTTTGCTTGTACTGCAAAAAAAACATAGAAGTCAAATCTTTGTTATTGCTAATTTAATTAGTGGAATTGGGGTCCACCATTGAAGTGCTAAACTCTTTTTCTGTTTTTTTTTTTGGGGGAGAATCTGCTAGTCAAGATTAAAAAACAACCTAGACTCATGGATGGGGAATTTTCCTATATTTTCTATTCAAATATGCAGTGAGGACAAAACAGAGGGTAACGTAGATCTTACCTGTAAAGAGGGATTATTGAGCTATGAACACATGCTAAAGGAATATAAGGACACCAATATGCTACCATTTTTGCACATGAGGAACCCATGTTCAACCTAATCTCAATCATCCTAAAACTTTGCTACTTAAAAAATTATGCTAGAAGTTGCCTAGGCATAATAAAATCATCGTTATCGTCCTTACCTTTATCCCATATTTAATAGCACGAATTTTCTTTTTCTATTCTATTCTATTACAAGCCATATCATCTCATATTTAATTAGTTAAATCCATTTTTAATTACTTCAACCCAAGTTATCTTTGAGCAGCTTCTATGTCGATGACAACAGATAGAAAAAAGTAGTCAGAAGCGTAATACACACACACACACACACACACATATTGTGGAAGTTGAAATAAACACACACACCCATTATCCACGATATGTCCTTAGTGTGACTTGAACTCTCAATCTTCCCCTTTGGCATGAGAGATCATACCATTGGGTTAGAGGCCCTTTGGTCAGAAGCATAATATTTGTCCTTTTTTTTTTTTTTTTTTTTTAACCTTCCTGTAATTGCTAAAAGCTGATATATATTCCTACTCAAAATCATGTTTGAGCAGCTCTCTGTCATGCAGCATAGTCTTCTGGGAGCTACCATCTTCAGTCCCTTCGATCAACCCAAGTTATCTTTGAGCAGCTTCTATGTCGATGACAACAGATAGAAAAAAGTAGTCAGAAGCGTAATACACACACACACACACACACACACACACACATATATATTGTGGAAGTTGAAATAAACACGCACACCCATTATCCACGATATGTCCCTAGTGTGATTTGAACTCTCAATCTTCCCCTTTGGAGATGAGAGATCATACCATTGGGTTAGAGGCCCTTTGGTCAGCAGCATAATATTTGTCTATTTTTTTTCTTTTTTTTTTTTACATTTATAACCTTCCTGTAATTGATAAAAGCTGATATATATTCCTACTTAAAATCATGTTTGAGCAGCTCTCTGTCATGCAACATAGTCTTCTGGGAGTTACCATCTTCAGTCCCTTCGATCAATCCCTTTCATGGCTGTCAGCTGTTATTGGCAGATTTTTGTGCATTCAGTCACACAGTCTTCTACTACTCCTGCTATCTCTTGTGTACACGTTGCACCACATGTCGCAGAAGTCTCACGGATAACCGATGCTGATTCAAGACCTGGTGGTTCAAATTCTTTAGGTGATGGGTTGGCTGCTTCTACAGTCCTTAAAGATGTACATATAGTAAGAACTCAAGAATAGGCTTCTCTTTTTTATACTGCAACACAGTAATGGTACACGTGCTTTCCAATTGTGATCCTATGCTTCTCTTCTTCCTTAAGTCATATCTCGTTTTCAATCGTTTTTCAGTCCATGCTTTTCTTTGTAGGAGCTTTAAAAGTTGGATTTTTTTTTATATGTATTTGCCTTCATGTTCAAATGATTGCTTTTTCTTTGTTCCCAGTCAGCACGGCTGTTGGATGATTTTCTTGAACTTGCTAGAGACAACACAAACAATGATTTAGAGACCTGTGGGGTTCTTGGTGCTTTTCTTGTAAGCTTCATGATTTTTCCCTTACATTCTAGAACCAAAAGGAAATATTTTACTCCGTATTATAGCATTGTTTAATGTATGCTTTCTAAAACTCTTAAAGGTGTAGTTTCATGGTAACACAATCTCAGCTTTTATATTTCTCTGCAAATAGTTGTAATATATTTATAATTACTAGTAAGTGCACGAAAAATAGTTTTGGCAGGACGAGAAGGGTTGAATCTGGTTCTCATTCTATCATATCCAGATTCAAAAACTTTTCCCAATTTTTATTTGGTCCAATCAGATTGTAATATGTGCCATTGTGCTTCCATGTGGCCGAGCTGATTAAGATTTAGGCCTGAATTTTTGCTGCATTGGGATGGTAAAAAGTTTAGGTCACTTAAAAGATTACTAAAATTATGCTTGCAACCTCTTCCCTTCTTCCCAACCCCACCCTGCCAAAACAAGAACATGTCACAAATCTCATTACACAACACCAATGTGGATGGAATAGGAGATCCAGAAGCAGAGGTGGGAGGATCATGCGAGCCTAGCTTGATATTCTACTGCACTGAGATGATGCCGAAGGTAGGATCCAATGGGGGAGGATTAAAGTTTAGTGCAGAAGGTTGGATCTATGGGGGAGGAGCAGGGCTTTCAATTAATCAGGGAGTGTTACGGGAGCGGTATCTGTTGAGGCAAAGTTGGGCTAGAATCAATAGAGATTGTTGCTGCAAGTGCGAATTCAGACTCAGTTCTTGCTGTATGTTGCATGAAGTCAAACCTTGCAATTAAAACATAAAATATAGTACTACTTCACTAACCCCTTCGGCCCAATTATCACACTTATTTACTTAATTTCAGTAGATGAAACTGATTTCCATAACCACTCACATGATCCCAGAAAAGGATACTGCCATTGCTCAATCCAATAAAAATGAGCTCAGTCCTATCCAATTTGAGTTTTGCTTGTTGAGCCTCTCCCGATTCTGTTAGTAACTTAGTACCATATTATTTTGTTAATATTCTAAATTTTTTAAACATTTAAACCATTGAGCCCTTCCAAATATTTCAATTACTTAATATAAACTGTCTAGTGGTTCATCCACTACCAAGTGTCAAAATATTTGGTTGGTGCCTATTTCTGTCCTGCTGGTCATTAAATGTCTTGATGTACCACATGAAGCCTCTTGATTGACAATTGGCGGTAATTTGCGGCATAATGTTGTAGACTAAGGGACAAGTTCCAATATTGTTTCCATTTTTAAATTTCCCCCTGTTTTGTAGCTTGGTATAGTGTGCTTTCTCCCATTTTTCCCCATCCTCCATGGTGTTAGGAAAGCGTAAGAAGCTTGATTAAAATATTATACTGACTTGGAATTTGTACTTATTTTCATTATTTCTCCAGAAAGAGGGGACCTTCTATGTTACAACTCTGATAATACCTAAACAAGAATCGACATCTGGTTCTGTAAGTCTTGGATGCTGATTAAACTCAATTTGATTCGCTATTAGAATTTTCTGCATTCGTTTTCTACCTTGTCAGTTCATAGTATTGCATGTTACTGACTCAATTGTACTGGTTGATAGTGTCAGGCCCTAAATGAGGAGGAGATATTTGCCATACAAAATGAACAATCCCTATTTCCTGTTGGATGGATCCATGTATGCATTTTCAGCTCCTATTTATTTATTTATTTATTTTTTCTTCTCTCTGAAAATTTATCTGAAAGCAGCTTCAATGATGCCCTCGATCTTAAAAGAGGAGAGGAAGGAATAGATAAGATGGTTGGAAGCTTGCTTCTGGTCTTGCAGAACATTGTCCATTCTTTTGTCTGCATTAAATTCTAGTAATGTACTTCCAGAGTTTGGAATGAATGAATATTTTTAGAGCTTTGCACTTAACTACAACAAATTACAATTGATAAAAATTGTTTAGTTTGGAATGAATAAATATTTTTAGAGCACTGACGTCTATTATATTATATAAATCTATATGTTTGTGAGTGTGTATTGACTATTGACATCTGATCTCTTGTTTCTGTCTTCAGACACATCCTTCTCAGAGTTGTTTCATGTCATCAATAGATTTACACACCCAATATTCATATCAGGTAACTGATTCTATTATTGGCGGCTGTCCTTTGTGTTGAATAGCTTCATGTTTCATCAATTGTGTGCTACTCATGCTATAATACATAAATTTTTGCACGCCAATTTATTATGAAAGTAAAAGAAACCTTTAACAGAAGCTCATTTGGATGCATATGGTGGGAAACAAAAATGAGAAATCTGTAAAAGTGCTCCTGCTAAGCAAGCTTGTATTTTTGCATTGTGTATTTTGATGCAACAATTAGCAATTTGATGGAATGTCAACTATTCATGTTTGGAAAAGTGATAGCAATTTTCTACCATCATTCTCAGCGGCTACATAATCTGCCCTTATAATTGGTCTATGAATACTTGTTTAATTACATGGGGTAAACGTATCCTTTGTTTTGTTATCAGCTATATACATTTCCAACTAATGCTCGTCATCATCCACTAGATTTTGTGCCTCTAGAAGATTTGTGTGCAACATATCGTGTTTTCTTTCCTCTTATGCTCTTGATTAAGAAACCTTGTTCACTTCCATTTTTTCAGGTAATGGTACCCGAGGCTGTTGCAATTGTTATGGCTCCAACTGATAACTCAAGGTGTGTTTTCCTGCATGACTCATTGGTGGTTTTATTGAATTTTAAACCAGTAATGCTTTGCACAACATTACTTTTTTTTTTTGTTCTTCCTCTCCCCGGGTTTCTCTTTGAACGCAAGAGTATCCACGCAAGAGGTAGGTTCAACTATCTATTCTAGATAAATAATATACCAATTCATACTGAAATACTGTTCTTGGCCTTAAATTCTCAATTTGTATGCACCAAGTAAGATTTACACGAGATAGGTAACTGGAAATTATAAAAATGAAGTTCCATTCGGAAATTTAGATTAACCCAATTTTCTCATAGGGTCACAACACAAGAATTGAACAGTTACCTTTGCTAAAAGAAATCACAAAATGTGAAGCTGCATGATAAAACTGGCAATGCATGATTAATATGCGCGCGGTTTCCAGGTGAATGACCACTGAGTTCCACTTGCAGAAGTTTATTTGTTGTTATTGGTATGTCCCAGGAGCTATGGAATATTCAGGATATCTGACCCTGGTGGGATGAGTATCCTAAGCCAGTGCCAGGAGGATGGATTTCATCCTCACCGAGAACTGATCGATGGGAGTTCCATATACGAGAGCTGCTCCAATGTCTACATAAATCCAAATCTGAGGTTAGAAATATGCGACCTGCGTTGATGGAATGGTGTGTGTACAAGTTCAGGTGTGTACAATATACATGTTCAACGTACTAATGTTTGTGGTTGAACAGACAAATAACCTTAGTCGACATCCCTCACAACAGGAACGGTTTTGATGTATCATCCTTTATGAAAGAAATACAGTAATGTTTTAGCAGATATGTATATTTTTCATAAACTTTGAACTACACTGAGAAATTGTATATATTGTTCAAATAAATGGTTTGAGGAGAGAGTAAATAGCTTGGAGTCTGTTTTAAAACGTCCATCTTAGCATCCACTGTTTCCCAAGGGGTAACACTTGCATGCATTCATTTTGTCCCTATAGATGGGATTTGAAGATATCACCATCGGGGTCACCCTCAGATAATTTTTTTTTTTAGTAATTGTCCGGTGCATTTAAGACGGAGGGATTGCAGGTGCTCGGTGGTGAATTATAAGGTATTTTAAAAGGTCTAACACCACCATCTTAATATATATAAAAATAATAATAAGAATACGAGATACGAATATGACACAATACGCGTAGTGATACAACAGATTAAAAATAATAATAATAATAAAAAAAGAAGCAAAATATGGGTATGACAGAACACTGACAATAAAAAAATTTAAAAAATTTATTTTTAGTATATAAAAATATTAATTTTTTTTGTCAATTTCTTAAAAATGTTCTGAATCTAAATGTAATAGAAGTTTGTTTCATAACATATAAGACAAACATCTCTAGTCATCAATTAATAAATTTGAACTGTTTTTTTAACAATTATACTATGTTATTATTGTTAAAAAAATATTTTAATATACAAACTTGTTAAAAATATATTATTAAGTGTCTAAAAGAATGTCAGATACACAATTGAAATATTTAATAAGTATTGGATACGTATTAGAAATTAAAAATATATATATGTGGTAGAAAAATATAAATTATAGATATATATTTAAGAAATAAAAAATGATTGTTACACCAAATAGTTGCATTGAATTGCTAGACTTACTTTTTTAATTGGTCAATTATGCAATAAATAAGGAAATTGAACCCTCCACTTAGTTGTAGTTGGTATAAATAACCAATTAAATATTATTCGATTAGGTAATTCCCTCTAAGTGTTAGGTATGAGTAGGGCTATTCAAAAAATTTGCTAACTGGACCAGACCGAACTGAACTGGACGGTTTGGACTAGTTGCAGAGTGAATTGGTCCTGTTTTGGGCTCAAAATTATGAAACCGTAATTTTACGGTCTGGTCCTGGTTTGGGGTCCTGACCAGCCCAACCCAGATTGAACCATTATATAACTTATATATATATATATATATATATAATTTATAGTTTTGGCTAGATATATTCTTTTTACTTTTTTCAGGCCATGATGAAAGCTAGCAAAGAGAGAAATAAAACGAAATGATGGGCCATAATAAGAAAAATATCATATGAAAATTACCGAACAATAAAAAACTACACAATTAGAGATCACATGGTGCAAAAATAAAGCATAACCATTAGGGATCACAGGAGACTATTGGTTCTTTAAACACTAAAGTGGAAGAGTAGTGTTTGTTAAATTGTATCAGAAAATATATATATAAATATATATACTGAATTGTTGGTTCCCTGTCGATGTTTTTTCGTGGTTTGGTTCGGTTTGGTTCTATAAGTATTATGATTCGGTCTGATTTCAAAAATAGTGGAACAATTATAAATGATTTGATCTCAAAAATAATCTCAATCAGGTTTAAATCAGACCGTGTGCACCCTTAAATAATGAGTATCAATATCATACACAGTGTCTTAAGAAATATCATACACAGTGTCTTAAGAAATATCATACACGGTGTTTTTTGAAAGTATCCATGTAAAGTAAACATATTCAGAGTGCATTTAATATGGATAAATCTGTTAGAAGTATCTACACTTTCCTATATAGCTGATATAAGTAGCTGATATGGTGGCAGCTTATCCATTAGAGATTTTTCAATATTGTATACTATCTTATAGATGATTTGAAAAACAGAAACCTATTTGTTTTGCATGCATCATATTCATATTTGGTTCTTATCTTAGAATTTGGAGTTTTGTTATGTGGAGAAGATATGTTCTAAGCAGCAAGATTTTATTTATGGCCAGCTCATCCTAGTCACCAAAACAGATATCCAGGCCCAAAACGAATTTTAAATAATAAGCGTATTCCGGATCCCCTCCCGTATTAGGATCTCTTATCCCGTGCACAAGTAGCAAAAAGTCCAAACCAATCAAAATTGGACACATGTACAAATTATCAACCAATGAAAAACAGCCACATGTCAAGGCAACCAAGCCACAACTATGGCACAAAGATTCCATCCAATACTAAAATTCCGAAAATGGAAAAGATTGGGGTCCAAATTATTTGCAACAAATCATGAATAAAACCGGAAAAAAAGACAGTCAACGGAAAAGGAAGAAATTATTAAATCGACATCGTTTATTTAATATTTGATAAACTGATTTTATTTTCTCATGTCGTGATCTATTTGTCACTTAATAAATTAATTTAATACAAATCGTATACTCTTGTGGTTACTATTTTAAGAAACTAATAAATTTTTTTAATTCATAATTGCGTAAATGAATAATTGTTTTTCACAATTATATAATCAATTTAAGGTGGTTGATGAAAAATTATTACATCGGTCTAGAGAATCAGAATATGATTCGGGAGTCCATATTTGATGATAAGAAAATAAAAATGTATATAATACCATAAAAAATATCTCCAATACAGTGTTCCAAGTTCCAACGCATGAGACAAAGTTTGATCATTTAATTATTAAAAAATGCAATCAAGATCAATCAAACTATAGCTATTAAATTTACAGAGCTTCATCGTATTTAATTAAGAACCCTAAACTAGGAGAAATCAAAACCCAAATTAACCTTTCTAGTGTCTCCAGCCAAGCGATGTTTATCCATACAAGTGTAAATACATTTAAAAATAAATAAAATAATTTGACCCCCCAAAAAGAAAAAGAAAAAAAAGGTACTACACAAAAAGAAAATGGATGGAACTGTGCTTAGAACGGGTGTACGTTCCTGCTCAGACCACCGTTCACATTCGTGAAGAATCCGACGAGCTCCGGCCGGTACGGAAGGTACGATCGTCGTCGATCCTCCTCCTTCAAGGCTCTGTTCCTCGCGTAATGAGCCGACAACGACGACTTCTCAACCTTCTCTGCCTTCTTCGCCTTCGCTTTGCTTCCGCCGGCGTTAACGTTAACCTTAACCTCGACGGCGGGCTTCTTCTTCTCCGACAACGACGATTCCGTCTTCTCAACTTTGTCCTCTTTCTTTGCGCTCGTGGTCGGTGAGCCGTTCAAGAACACGAACGCGTCCCTGCCGTCGCTGTTGCTCCGACTGTATAGATCTCGGAACCTCCAGAGCTTGGAGAATCCGGTGGAACTGCTCTTCTTGCACGACTCCGGCGACGCCTCGACGGCCTTTTTGGACCAAGCGCAGTACGGACCGGTGGCTTCTGTCTCTGTTTCCTCGGTTTCCGTCGGCGCTTCGATGAAGACCTTCCTCACCTGAGGTCGAAGCGGCAAATCCTTCTCGGAAGGCACCGAATCGTCTCCAGCGAGTAGTTGTCGGTCGAACAAAGGAAAAACCGGCCGGATCTGACCGTCCTGAAACGCATCGTCGGGCGAAATCGGCGATTTATTAGCGTCGTTAAACACAAACGAGAAATCCTCGTTGTCTTCTTCTTCTTCGTCATCCTCCTTTCCAGCTTCAAATTCAAATTCGCCGTCAACTCTATCTTCCATTTGATTACTGTTAGAATCGTCCAATTCGAGCTTGCCGCTGAGCGATTCGGTAACTTCGGCGGCGGTTTGTGCAAATTGGTCTCCAAGAGACGCGGAGAGGGAGGGAGCCGTCTGCATTTCTGTGTTTCTCTCTCTAGATGTTGTTGTTTTTGCAATGGAGGAAGGAAGCGTAATGTTGAGGGGCTATAAAAAGTGAATGGTTTGGAGGTGTTTGATTTGTATGGGGTTTTAATACGAGTGGTTGGTCAGCAATGACGGACGGAGAGAGAAATAGAAATTACTGTAAAGATTGTGTTTGGTTACATTTTCAACATTTACTGTCTCCAAAGAATTTATTTATAGTGGTTGTTTGTTTGGGAGAGAAGAAAACATTATTCAATTTCTCTTTTAAGACAGACTGTATACGTGCAATTTTGGCCACCCCCCCCCCCCCCCCCCCACTTTTTCTTTTTTTTTTTTTTTTTTTTTTTTTTTTTTTCAGACGAATCAGACCTCAGTCCAAAAATATTCACTTTTTTATTACTGTTCTTATCATTATTATTATTATTTTATTATTATATTACAAATACGAGTCGTTTTAGATTAGAGTGAAGAAAAAATAGTTTAAACTTTGAACTAAATATTCACAAATTTTAATTTCAAAATATACTAATTTCATGCAATCTGACATAATATTACTAAATTTGGATTGTACTTTAATTGAAGAAAATGAATAATTTAACTTGAGTCTAAATTAGTTTATGACATGACGGTTTATTGAACTTGATATAATGTTTAAGAAATTAGTGATTCATACATTTCACTAAATTATAGTAGCATTTCTTATTTCTTATTTTTTTTATATTAGAGAAAATAATTTTTAACCCGACTTCAAAATCACTTAATGCATTTTTATTTCTTTAATGAAATGAATAAGACTGATATTTGAATTTATTCATTGCATCAAAGAGATAAAAATCTTGTTAGTAACAAATCAAAATCTTTTGATGTATAATAATCAAGAGTTGTGATTGAAATTTACATCAATACATAATATTGTAAGTTTTAATGTGAGTCATTAATTATTATTGTACAACAAGGATGTTATACATCTCTTAATGTCAACTCTTCGATTTTATATGGGGGTTTGGGAAATTAGCAAGTAACATTGTTAAAAAAAAAAAAAAAATTCAAAAAAAAAAAAATTGGCACACTACATATGCTGATTTATTTTAAAGAAAAAAAAAAATAGCACAATTGTTCTTAAAAATTACTGCATTTTACAATTGTCCAAAAATACCACCAATACACCACAGTTTTGAGAGCAATTATGTCACTTATTTTGTTAAAGACACGTTTAATGCAGAATATGGAAGTATATCTTGAAAATAACATCTTATTTATTTTATTATTATTTTTGCAGATGTTTCAATAGTATAGTAAGTTAATAATAAAAATAATCTAATTAGCTTGAAGATTGGATAATTTGGACATCAGATTAAAAATGCATGATGTTTAAAAAGTTGACTCTACAGTAATCATTCAAGCCTGGTTGCCTGTGTATGAACGACTTGTAGTTCTTAGAAACTTCTGAAGTAGTTGTGAAATTCGGTACATTGACGAGTCCTCACTCGCTTTGATAATTTGTCCGCGTGGTCTGATTTAGACACGCGCGTGAGCTATATCTGAACACGTAATGGATGACTTTTGTCTTTAATAATACATTTCAAAAGGTAAAAGATAAAAGCAAAATTTTAAAAATAAAACGAAGGAAAAGTCGCCTTCTGGTGGAGGAGGTTTGAGCTTCAATGAAAATTCTGGACTCAAAGGTCAGCAACTCTGTTATACAATCTCATCAGTGATGCCATGTTATGATATATATATATATATATTACTATTATATATATAATTTTTATTCTTTTAATGGCATGGCGTGTCTACAATCATTCACGTACTGAATAACCTACTGAATAATTCTTAATATTTAAAAACCTTAATTGCACTCAACTTCTTTGACTATATATGATTTGTGGCACATAATCCACTTCCTAAAACCCACCAACTTGCTACCTTAGATAATGAAATTTTTGTATACTTCGGAATTATATGATGACGGTCAATCACATCTCTATATATAAGTAAATATTTTATTTTTATTTAAATTTTTACTTAGAATTATGATTGTTCTAGATCATGACAAGTTATTTTTTTTTTTTTTTTGGTGAAAACAACTTATTCAGAAAAACTTACTATCTTTAACTTGTGAGCCATGTTGGTTTTTGGTTAAAAACTTTGGTTTAAGGCTTCGAAATCTTGTTTTCCTGTTTTATAAAAGGGTTGTTGATTATTTTGAAATTTTTGTTCAAAGCTTAAACGAAGTTAGATTAATCTCAAATTTTAGATTTAGTAATTTTTAATGATTAGGCTTATTAATATTTTTTTTTCTTCAGAAATTTAGCCTTATTTTTAGTGCTATATGTTCCTTTTACTATTAAGTTTCTTTATTGTATTAGTTTTCTTATAGTGTTTAGGATTTCTTTTATTATAAATACGTGCAATGGAAAACACATAATTAGTATTTAATCATTCAATTATCAATATAGTATTAGATTTTCTCTAAATTTATCTCTTATTTTATGAATTCAAAATAGTTTATCGTTCATTGTTAACAAACCTAACTTCTGCTATGTCAGATTTATAATAGATGTATACAATTTGCCTACAAATCACTTGTATCATTTAAACTCTCAACTCACATTCGGCTTGACCAATAACCTTATTATTAGTCGTCTGTTAAATAATGAGTAAAATGTCCTTATTGTCAATAATTTTTTTATATATATAAAAAAATATGTAATAAAAAGAAACTATATTGAAATAGGCAATATGGTCATTTTACCTCAACGATAAGGGATTAGGTGCAATTTTTTGTAGCTTAGTAGAGTTATATGCCAAAAACATAATTGAGAAGAGGAGTTATGTGTTACAAAATGATAGCAGAGAGCATTAAGTGCAATTATTATAGTTCATATGGGTGGGTCTAATGTGGATGTGCTGCAATACAATACAATTATATTGCCTTAAAACAAAAAGGATTATTACATATAAATGGTGCTAATGACTATATTTGTCATTTGATCGAGTCAAAATCTCATAATTTAAAAAAAAATGAAGAGATGAAAAAACATTGTTACCCTTACAAAAGTACCACATTTAGGCATATAGGTATCGCTTTTTGTATTTTTTTTGCATGTAGATACCGCTTTTTGTCATCCGGTACCACTTTTTGTGCTGCTCAAAAAAGTGATACTTATTACACAAAAAGTGGTACCTATGTGCCTAAAAGTGGTACATCTATGAGAGTGTACATTGTTTTTTTATGTCCACGTCAGCATTTTGGTTAACTATACTTTTTCGAAATGATAAGACTTTGACTCCATCAAATAGTAAATATCGCCATTAATACTATTTACATGTAATAATCCCTAAAAATAATTAATTAAAAATCAAATGAGGTGAAATTAAATATCTCATAAAAAATAGAATATAGAGAGTAAGATGAGATAATTCAAGGTAGAAGCATGTGCTCAAACTAGTACCCGGTAAAAATAAAAAAATATATAAAATAAAAAATAAAAAATTAGTCTTGGGGAATATACCTAACTTCCAACCCCCCACACACACACATAGGTGGGTGATATAACTAGGCGCAGGTAATGAAGTTACTAAAACCTTAAATTCGATTTTCATTTGTCAATGGTAAGATCAAAACAATCAACTTCAACCCTCTATGACTTGACTTGTATCCAAATCATATTATGTGATTTTTATATCAATGGTACAACGACTTTAACTAAATCTTATTATGTGATAGTATTTGTTCGGCATATCACAATTGCGGCGGCTATGGTAGTTGATCTATTGAAAGGACCATTTTGGAAGCAGACCTCTACCAACTTTGGCCAATATTTAACAGAGATGAACGCATGAGATTGAATCTTTAGTTTAATCATAAACTAATTTCCACATGACAATGAAATTTGTTAAAGATTTGACATCACTGATGTCTTTGCTAATGTGGTTGCAAGTGCAACTGGTTCCGTTCTTGATGCCAAACTCCATCAAAATTTTCTAATTTGGAACCTTAATTCATGTGCAAATGAAGAAATATAATTATTATAAACAAAAAAACGGGTAAATTGTAGGGATAAGTGCAAAAAACACCTTTAAAGTATATTTTTCGTAGCTCTTTTATCCCTTATTTGAAAAGGTGTACAAAAAACACCCATATTCTTTTCACATTATGCGAAAACATCCCATCAATAAAAAAATTTGATATAAATTAGTACTATAATGTCAATTTTATCCTTTTACTCTTCCAAAAATGCCCATACCAAACTTTGAACTCCTTCAATCTCAAACTAGTTTAGGATAAGGAAGTACCTTTAACCAAACATCCTTTTTCTCTTACACCTTTCTAAAAGGCCATTGTAATGGCTGTTGTAGAACACCAAAAAATTCTCGATGGGTTTCATTAACAATTTTCGACGAGCAACGACAGCAAGCATGATGGAGATCAACGGGCTACAAGGAAGATGGTGGAACAACGACGGCGAGTTATGGCGCCGCCGAAGGTACTGGCGGCGGCGACGGTTCTGGCACAGACGGTGGCTGGTTCGTGGTGTACAGCATGGCGGCGCAGTTCCCGGAGGCGGTCTACAAACTGCAAGCCCTAATTTTCACACATACATACGGATACGGTCATGTATATATATACATATATGGGAAGAAGATGAATTTGGGGAAGAAGATGGATTAAGGTCGCAAAGATGGGGATGATCTCACCGTCCAATAGGGTCGCAAAGATGATTGACGCCGGTGAGCTATGAATTTACCGACGAGGAAATGGGTCTGACGCATGGTCAAAATTCGTGTCACGACCGTGGCGATCCTTGAAAGACAGAAGATTTCAAAACCATCTTGGCCAGTAATGGAGTAAAGGGGCGCCCGTCTCGTTGATTAGACTAGCTCGTGAAGGGAGCCTGTCTTACTTCATCCGGCTAACATCACGCACACAAATGCCATTCCACTGACTATTGTATTTGTGATGACTTTCCTTATAAGTCAAATGCAGGAGGGGACCTCATAACCAGAAGCTTAGTCAATTACCACATCTGCTATTGGCATGAATGGAATTATGGAAGAATCCCCCAAAATCCAGATATATCACAAGGTTGGCTATTACATATGGTGGGTCTGTACGTGGATGATGGTGAGTTCAACGGGGACCAAGGATGAATCTGAACCGAAAGTGCTCGTACGTGGATGATGGTGAAGCTTCGCCGGTGGGTCTTGATGTGCCGGTAGGGGAATTTTTTTTCTCGAGTTGAAAAAGATGAATTTTGGGTACTTTTTAGTCATTTTACATCATATTATTATTTTTTATATACTTTATAAAATATGTCAGTAAGGGCATTTTAGTCCAATTTTATTCTAAATGTATAAAGAGGACCTATTTGCACAAATGTCATAGTTCAAGGGTGTTTTTTGCACGGGAGGGGTATAATATGCACTGTATGCATACTTCGGGAGTGTTTTCTACACTTGACCTTAAATTTTATTTATCTGCTTTAAAGTTTGTCAATATCTCACATTAAATTTCTTTACGTTTCATAATCTTACTTACCTTTTCTGTAATTCCTCTTATCTGCCTTGTTAGCGACTGTCATTCTGAAGTCGGGTTACGCGCTAGCCTAGAACCCACAAAGGGTGTTGGTCGATTAAGACAACGGAATGGTAGTCATAGTAGTCGAAATCCATTAAGGAGTGTGTAACAACTCATCTGTCGAATCAACTAGTCCCAAAAATAAATGGCGTTGAAGTGCGTGACCTATACCCAGCCGTCGTGGCAAAACCCTAGGTGCGAGCAGCCGTTGGTGCAAATCTTGGTGGTAATGGTAAATATTCAAATGAAATGCCTGAAATGATAACAAACATTTCATGACAAAAAAAAAAAAATAATCACTGTATGAGGGGTAAGTGAGAATTATGAAACATAAAATGGTTTATGTAAAAATATAAACAAACTTTAAAGTATGTATGTAAAATTTATCTAATATATATATAAAATTCTTTGCCAGATCGATTTGCGCTTAAGATAGTTGTACACGACTGGGTCCCATTTTGGCTTAATTAACACGATTCAATAAAGAATCACTCCCGTGTGATGAGAAAACCATTATTTTATATAATGGGTCTATTGTTTAAAATCGGTCTAACTCTATGAAAAAACAAATGCTTCTTAATCTATGATTCTTGTTTATTATTATTATTATTATTATTATTATATGTATATATATGCCATAATAGGATTAAACTTAATTGAACTATTTTTGCATACTATGGAAGTGTAGCAGCTTCACCGTTAGGCAAGTACACAGAGAATGGAATCGGAGTCATATAGGCGGACATTGTCAACGTCAACCTCACCAAATTGTGTTCAATGTTACATCCAATGTAATGTTGTTGACAAATTCAATGTTTATAAATAGAAGAAATTAATATACCACATAAATGTTTATGTATTAAAACACAACCATAGACACTGTTCTTGACCCGTCAAATAATAAATAATTAATAAGAAACTTTCAAATCCTTAAAAGTGGCCGCCAATTGAATCCACAACCATATCAAATTTTATTACATTTTTTATAAAAACATATTTTTTCTACTATTCACTAGAACTGCTACAGTAGTTGACAAAAACAAAAATGTCAAAAACAAAACGCATACCGAATAAGCTCATAATATGGTATTGATAGTTAAGTGGTAAAGTGGTTAACTATTGGGTGTGTTAGTGAAATATTTCTTGCCTTGCAAAAAAATGGATAAATTATACGGACTTCCTCTATGATTCGACATAATTACAAACACATTTCATATAGTTTGAAAAATTACTCGAATCTCTCTTAAGAATGAAATTAACCTACATGGACCTCCCTTCTGTTACGATCAACGCAAGTTAATGAACCTCCCTTCTGTTACGATCAACGCAAGTCAATGATGGATTTTGCTGATATCACGTACTAAATAAATTGGAATTTCTATATTACCTTTCGTCAATCTCATCTCTCTTACATATACAGATGGTACTACAGTCATTTACAATATCAACTTGAAGGTATTTCAGTAAATTAAATAAATCTGTTAGTGCATTTGACAATCCGTCAATAGAAAGGGAGGTCTGTATAAGTTAGTTTTATTTGTAGGAGAGATTCAAATAATTTTCCAAACCATAGGGAAAATTCCTATAATTATGACAAGCCATATGGGAGGTTTGTATAATTTACCCAAATCTAAATATATATATACATATATATTTTTATTATGGGAGGTCATATTCACACTTCACTTTTCTCTAATTGTACTCCATTAATATATCATCCATTATTTTATAATGTCACAAAATAAAATGTTCCAATTAAAAAGTCATTATATATTTTTTATAACATTACCAATTTAACATTCTTATATTAAATTTATAAAAAGTAAATCATAACATTTTTTTGTGGGTGCAAATGATTATTTAATAACTTTCATTCTTCTAACGGACACCATGGAAGAATCCAACAAGGAAAAAAAGAAAGAAAAACAAAAAAAACAATATAGCTCTAGTTGACATAACAATACTCAACATTTATTTTCCCAGATTTAACATTATTTTACATTGACCAACTAATGATAAAGGAAGGCCATATTCGGCTCTCCCTTTTTTAACATTTGTACTCTGATCTTAAAAGAAATAATAATTTTAACCCTAATTTTATAAGTAAATAATTATTATTTTTAAAATGATAGAATTACTCTTTCAGATTTCCTCTCTTTATCTCTAATCTTTAATATTTTAGGTCTCTTTTGACAAGACAAAAAAAAAAAAAAAAAGTATAATGATTATTTTCCCAGAACCAAAAAAAAAAAAAAAACCTATTAAAAAAATTATCTCTTTTGACAGGAACAAAACCAAAAAATATTTTTATGGAAGAAATCATCTCTTTTGTCAACCCCCGACAAAAAAAAAAAAAAAAAAAAAAAAAAAAAAAAAAAAAAAACAAAAGAAGTACTAAAAAAAAAAAAAAGAGGATTCAAATATATATATATATAAGTACATCGACTTTTCAATTGGGATATTTATTTTGTGGTTGCTAAATTGGAAAGGTTGACATTTTTTATGCTCAGGGGAGTGATTATACTTGGTGATTGTTTTGTTTTGTTATTTTTTTTTTTTTTGAATTCTAGATATCAATTTTGTTGATAAAAAAATTGGAACATTAATAATCATTGGTTAAAGAGTTATTACTTGAAAAAAAAATATGATTTACGTGAGAATTTATCATTGTACTAAGTGGGACACAGTTAGAAATTTATGCGAGGGAGGAAAATAGTGGGTTTTTTTTTTTTTTTTTTTTTTTTTTTTTTTTTTTTTTTGTAATTTTAGTAGTGGGCAAAAGTAAAATTTTGTAAGTATATAATTTTTTTTTTTAAAATCAGTACTTTATAATACTAATGTTCTGTTTGATAAAACTGAATACTGAAAATTAAGTATTAAAAATTTTAATAACTGAATTTTAAGTGTTGGAGTTAATAAATGTTATTAAAAAATAAATATGGAATGAAGCCTGCCTTCCAAAGGGATTGGCCTCTGCATTTATAACCGAGCTTTGCCAGTGTTTGGAGATTCTTCAGCGTGATTTCTAGCTTTGGAAAAGTAACTTTTTGACTTTTGAGGCATCTGTTGACTGTTCATGAATAGTAAGTTACTGTTCATGTCGTTTTGTGCTGACGGTTACTATAGATGAACAGTACTTTGTCGGGATATTGTAGAAATAGTGATTCTGCCGACAATTATTGTTGAAATAGTGACTTTGACTTTTACTGTAGCAGTTTTGACTTTTTTCCAATCTCAATTGAATGGATCTTGGTATGGATTCTGACTATCTTGGAATAATAAATCATCATATAAATTAACTGGGTGACTTAGTTCAGTAGCAGAGGAAGCATCATCTGCTTCTTCTTCATCTTTAGACAACTCTTGGATGCGATCAGTCAGTGAGGTTGCCATCTTCTTGAGTTCTTTTATTTCTGACTTGGGAGCATGTTTTCGTGACTTGGTGGAAACGGTAGAGCCAGTAGGGGAAGGCTGTTTCTGTTGAATGACTTGCTTTGTTGGAAGAGTGACATGTTTTTGTGAAGTAACTTGGATTGATGATTGTTTGGGATAATCATCTTCGACATACCCAATAATCTTGTCAATTGTACGTGGAAGTATCCCACCATTTAACATAGTGGCGGCGGATGACTATGTTGTCTTGGATATCATATTGCCATTTAAATATCCATGGGACTTAGTATTTACAACAAAATAACATGAGGACTGGAAATTGGGAACTATGTTTGTTAACTTTGTGAACAGTGTGAAAGTATTTGACTTGATCTGCAAGGGAGAGGGGGAGGATTTCTGGAATAGCACCATGAAGAGTCCACCATCTCAGAAACCAGGTAGAGATTTGACTTTTGAAATGACTATCAAAATTGATAAACCATAAATGAGTAAATAACTCATTTTAGTATAATAGGACAGATGACCAGGCTGTCATATAATCATAATACGTAAACTGAATATTATAATCAGGTAATAGTTGGGGTAAGTAAGGATGATTGCCCCATTTTTCCATGGAGATTATCCGTCGGATGTACAGGGAATGGTAAATAACTTTGAAAGGATCATTTTTATCATAAGTTGTCTTGACTGTGATAGATTCAGTATGGTACAGGATATCTCTGTAAAACCTAAGAGTTGAAGGATGACCTGGGGCATAGTGAAGGTTACTTGGAAAATAAGAGCGGGCCAATTCGAGTGGGTCTTTAATGTGACTAAGGTATGGCTCAATGAAAAATAAGGAAGTAGGGGGTTTTTCAACATATGGACTTGATGGTTTTTTAGCAGTGAACTGTTGCACATGGGACTGGGTTTGAGTATAGGGTTGGACTTGGAAAGGATCTGGTGTTGGATTGACCAAGGCTGACTTAAAAGTTGATGGGAAGCAAAAGGTTGGAATCTGTTGGTTACTGCTAATGAAGAAGAGGATTGTGACTGGGATCTGGTAACTGGAGCTTTGCCTGAGCAAATATCAAAAGGTTTAACTAGTTGAGGCCTCAGGGGAGGCTGCTGGTCTGCAATCAAATTTCTGCAAGAATTCCCTTGTAAGAAAATCTGGAATGGAATTGTTACTGCCTTTGATATATTCTATATCAAAATCAAATATACTTAATATAGCTTGCCACTAGGCAAAAATTTGTTTAGAAGCAATATTTTCAACATTTTTATTCTAAAACATATTT